GGGGTCTAGGGGTTTAGGGGTTTAGGGTGTAAAAGAACTGCAAATGTGTATTGGTGAGATCCGGTGGACCCTAATCACATCGGGTTTAATATTCCGGGAGGGTGGAGTTTCTACTTCGTGGCGACCGCTAGGGCTGTAGGCTTTCGGGCCTTATGGCCTTAGGGGTTAGGGTTTAGGGTGTAGGGTTTAGGGTTTAAGGTTTAGGATTTAGGGCTTCCGGACTAAGCCCTTACATGAGGAGTCTTCCAATCGAGGGTCTCTTGCTGCGTAGAACCGGCAGAACTGGTCTCGATTGCTATGCTCAAATCTGGCAACTGGTGTTCCCCCTTCCCCCCCCCCCCCTCCCCCGCCCACCAAAAAAAAAAGAAAAACAGGAAGCCACATGGCCTGGCCTTTCCTGGGTAGTCACCCACAGCTGTGAGGTAGTACTCCTTAGCCTTGGGCACCTGGTTCGAGGTGTTTAGTGCTTCAAGGGTTAGGGTGGTTGCAGGGTTGTCGGGTTTAGGTTTGGGGTGGCGCCGGGGATTTCGACGTCTATGGTTTCTGCACCCTTAGCCTAAATTCCTTGCTGGACTGGTTCATACTCACCCCAAACCCTGCCCTAAACTCTCAGGTTTACCCTAAACCCAAAACCCTACACCCTACACCCTACACCCTAAACCCTAAACCCTAAACCCTAAACCCTAAACCCTAAACCCTCAACGGTCGAAGCCCAGCGCCGAAAATGCCCTTAGCCGCAGTACTCAACGCGGGAGGCTTTGGGTGCGGGCCTTCGTGGGAGACTAGGAACAAGAGCAAAGGGTTTGGGGTGCAGGGTTTAGGGTTTAGGGTCTAGGGTTTAGGGTTTAGGGTTTAGGGTTTAGGGTTTAGGGTTTAGGGTTCAGGGTTTAGGGAGAAGTCTAGCACTAGCAATGGTTGCCATGGTCAGAATCGAGAGGCTTTTGAGCACGGATGGGAGCACAGGTCAACTGTAGCTCCTGCATACCTAGCCCTGCAAAATCTGGCTTTTCGGACCCCGCCAACAAGGAAGCCCTTTATGCCGAGTGCCCTAAACCCTAAACCCCCTCTAACCCTATAACCCCTAAACCCAGAAACCTAACCCCAACACCTGCTGAGCGTCCCGCGCGATTTTCCAGGGGCACCGCAGCATTCTGCGGGTCCTTCTGTGGGCCTGCGAAACCAGGGTGAAGAATGTGAAGAGAGTTCCAAAGCATTCTTTACATGGTTCAACCTTCGATTGCCACCGGGCCACCACGCCAACGTCTCAAGCGCCAAACCCCCCTAAAAACCGGCGCGGGAGCCACAACACCCCAAAACTCTTGAACTAACCCTGAACCCTGAAGGGAATGTGTGGGTGGCGAAGAATGTGCCGAAAGCTCAGGAGCGTTCGAGTACCCAAGCTGCTGCACATCCCAACATCCTTGAAGCACTGAGAGCCCTTAAAGCCCACCCTGAACCCTGTACCCTAAGCCCTAAACCAAAGCCCTACAAACCCTCCCTTAAACCCCACTGTTACTTGGGCTTAAGCCGAAGGTTTCTGGCAAGCCACATGAGAGCACGCGAAAGCGGCCAAAAGGAGAACAGCCAAATGCTGATCTCGGCAGGCTTGGCCCCAAAATCCCAAACCCCAAGACGCAGAATCCTGAACCCAAAAACCCAAACCCTGAACTTTGAAACTCTGTTGAACCCTCTAAGCCTGCAACCCTGCAACCCTGTAACCCTAAACCCTGCAACCCTGAAACCCTGTAACCCTAAACCCTAACCCCTAAACCCCAAACCCTAAACCCTAAACCCTAAACCCTAAACCCCACCTGCATTCGGATCGATCAGGGCATGGTCGGCCCTCCAGAGCCAGAGGTTGTCTCCAACAACCTGAGGGTGGTTCAGGGTTTAGGGTTAGAGGGTTTAGGGTTTTGAGGTTTTAGGGCTTAGAGGGATTTGGCGGGATTTGGAGGGAGATGTGGAGGGAGATTCGGAGGGATTTGGGTTTGGGACTTAGAGGGGGGCTTGGGGCTTCGGGTTTGGAGGGTTTGTGAGCCCCGGTCTAGGCCTCGGGGTTTAGGATTTAAGGTACATCCCGAAGCAGTACAGCGTGTCGTGCATCCACAAAGGAAAAGGGGGTTCTTATCTGCTGAGATCAGGGTCTATCTAGTTGGGCCTAAACCTAAAACCCTAAACCTAAAACCCTAAACCTAAAACCCTGAACCTAAAACCCTAAACCCAAAACCCTAAACCTAAAACCCTAAACCTAAAACCCTAAACCCCAAGCCCTGGCACAAGGCGATCACCTCCTCCAAGCTTCCGGGGCATGGCTGATGGGGTTTAGGGGTTTGGGGCCGGGTTTGGGGCCATTCTGTCAGAAGCTGGGGTCTGGAATTTTTTCGGTTTTTAGGACTTAGGGTTTAAGGCTCAACTAGGATTTGTTGTCTTGCTTTGGTTTTTTTTTTTTTTTTGGGGGGGGGGGGGGAGAGTGGTAGATCGGAAGGTTGTCCCATTTGCGCCCTGTCTGGGCTTGCCTCCCCAACCGCCCACCTTGATTGACGTGGCTTCAGGCTTCTGATATGTTGCCCCGTATACTAACAGTCCTTATAATAAGGATTATAAATGGGGGGGGGGGGTACTATAATATCCATTAAGGACTGTTAGTATAAAGGGGAACATCCCAGATGCTAACCCTTCTCGCACTTGGATCTCAAAAGCGAGCAGCGGAGAGTCAGCTACTCGGGAGAGTCAGCTACTCGGGAGAGTCAGCTACTTGCGCCACTTGGGCATGTGCCGCCTTTCAACTGCTTATTCGAAACAGAGAAAAAGGACCTAGGGTTTAGGGTTTAGGTGTTAGGAATCTGATGGCGGCATATGGGGGCTTACGAAATGAGGGGGGGGGGGGGGGGGGGTACCTTATTGGGGTCCTTGTTACAAGGGGATCCTACTATTTGGGGGTCTATATGAGGGTTCCCCTATTTTCGGAAACTCTCATACCTTACAACCCACACCCAACCTAAATTCGACGTAGAAAGGCGGACAGACATTGTCGCCGGCGGTTTCCTGTTCAGGAATGCCTGGCGCCATTTGGACTCTTCCTCCAGTGCTTGAAACATGTAGTGCTGAACCTTCTTCTCCAGGGGGAGGTCTAAGGGGAAACGTGAGGGCCTTAAGTTAGAATAGATGTTTTTGGTACTTTAGATCAAGTTACATAGGGATCATAAGGTCAAGGGGACAATATTTATCTAGTTCTCTCGCCTGCTGCAAGTGATGTCGCTGTTGAATAGAGCCCCCCCCCCCCCCCCCCCCCCCCCCCCCCCGACTCATCGCTCAGGCTTACACCCCTAAGCTCAAAAGCCTCTAAAGCCCCTCAAACCCCTGAAACCCTTAAAGCTCCTAAACCTTATGAAAATCCTGAATCTGGGCTCAACGACCAGAAAACACTGCCTGCCCTAAAGCCCCTAAATCCCTCAATGACGGCCAAGGGGACGAACATGATCTGGGGCACTAAGTTCTAATTTTCAGCCTTGAACCCCAAGCTTGAAAGTTTCGAAAATGCTGTCTAAGTTGAGTTCCATGCGCTTTCCTCACACAATGGGTGCCGGTGTCCACGGCTTCTGCAATACTTTGTGTAGGAGCTTCATGCCCTTCTGCGACAGGCATCTGCTTCCGTGCTATCCCAGCCTTGCCAGGATTGCATACGGTAAAGACTTCAAAACAGAAATCAGAAAGATCCATCTGATCCCCAGCTTCCTTTCTGCTACGCTGTGCCTGAATCCATTTCAGCTCCAGATTTTGAATGCTCAGGATGTACTATACGTAGCTGCAGATTCATACATCGAACGTATCCGCAAACCCAGAGCCAGAAGAACCTTGGATGAGCCAGGACTATCCTGAAACAGCAGGCAGTGTGGCTGAGTCATTCCAGGAGAGGAGTGTTGGCATGTCGTTGGGGACACCCTTCTTACGGGGGTTCCTGGAACAAGGAGGGTTCTTATACTTTGGGGGTCTATTGGGGGGTCCACTAGTTTGGGGGAGTACCCTCGCGAACAGGGCACAGCGCATTCGAACCGGCAGAAGTCAGACAGCAACCCGGGTAGAACCGCCGAGTCGGGATCAGCAAAAACTTCCTCACAAAGTTGTAGGCACTGCTCCTCCCCGGCCTGTACCTTGAGTTCCAGTTGCCCAGTGACACCTCTTACGTTTTACTTTCTGCCGACACCACGGGCCTTAGTAAGTACCTCAGACCTTAGCAAAGTACCGCTGTTTCTCTGTTTCCAGCCACTTGCTGTCCGCTGGACATCTATGAGTGCGAGCGTGGAAGCCAACAACTACCCACCAAATCTTGACTCTGCCTATGAGGTATTTCCCAAAATAGAAGTACCCCTTTTATACCCCCAAATAGAATGGAATCCCCTTAAAGGGACCCCAGAAAAAGGTACCCCTACGTTCGGAAACCCCCAGAACATTGCTTCGAAGAGCTGGAACTAGTGAACCCAAGGCCTTTTGCCCAGGCAGGCCCTTGCTGCGAGAGCGTGGGGCTATGCTGCAAACGCCTTGTTTGGCAAGCAGCTGACAGTGACCTCCTGTTCGGGTTCAGGGTGTGGGATTGTGGGCAGTTCTCTACTAGAGGGTCTTTTGGGACTCAATCCACCCACAAACCCTAACCCTTAAATCCTAAACCCTATACCCCAAATGCTAAGCCCCAAAGAAACATTCTTCACCGCTACGTCGTTTGGCTAGCAGTGGACCCCTTCGCTGGCTGGGTTTTCAAGAACGGGAAAGGTTTACTTTTTGGTTGAAGGAGCTGGAGTACCTCTACACCCCATACCCAACTTCCCAAAAGCCTTTGAGAAGGCAGTATGCCTGCTCCTAAGAGAGACCGGTCAGGGCTGTCCCCAGGCAGAACTTTGTTGGAGAGGTTGGGTATTTGGGGCTTAGGGTTTCTCCTCATTCTATACACCCAACACCCTACACCCTCAACCCGAAACCCTAAACAAGCCGATGTTCGGCCAAGCTCACTGAGAAGGTGCCGGCGGGTACCTGAGCAGAGGAAAGCAAGCGGGGAGCCCACGTTTTCTCAGCGACCCTACATCAGTAAACATCACACCTGGCCGTCCCAGCTTCAGAGTAGGGCGGGGGCTATACAGCAATCGAGCGCACAATTCTACGCGTCTGTGCGATGGCATGAAGGCGGTCTATCCCACCTCATGCCGTCTGAAGTGCAGAGAACACAGCAGAACGTGGCCAGGTACAGAGAACACAACGGAACGCGGCCAGGTGCTGAAGACTTACAGGCGGTCTGAGGAGTGTGTGTGGCACTCGCCATCGAGGTCGGGGGGCTGAAGCTGCTCCAATTGGTAGGCAGCCAAAACCCTATAAACCGCACTGAGTTTGCACCCCCTCAGCCCTAAGTAAGCCAGAACTACCAGGTCGGCTCACTGGTCAGTTTTTTGGCCTCCGTTCTCACACGGCCCATTGTACATTTTGGGCTTAGAGCTTCGGTTCCTGGCTTAGGACACTAAGGATTGTCCCCAGAGAGCCCATCTCGTTCGAGCCTTTTTGATTTTAGTTGGGCTGGTTAGGGTTGGGCGGCGGGGAAAGTATAGCACTAGGGTACCGCCGTGGCGCATCTTCGAAACGAAGCAGCCTACAACACGCACCATGGGATATTGGAGGTCAAGGAGGTCAAGGAGGGTTTAGCAAAACCATAAAAATTAGGGCCGGGGCCTGCGTAAGACAAGCAAGCCACTTGTCCTGGTTGTACACGATGAGCTGGGTGTCGTCGAGGGAATCATAGACAACCCCGTAATCCCTCGCACGGTGCACAGATTCGGATCGCGTGTGGTTTGTGGAAGCAATGGACGGGGAATGGCACACACATGACCAGGGATCTTACAAGTTTGGCTGATGCAGTGACAGTCAGTGTGCCCTACAGCATCCTGGCTGCAATGCACGGCAGAAAAAGGCTGTGGGCTACAGACCCTCTATGAGAGCCCTTGTTACCCTGTTCTCCCCTAAAAAAATCAGCAAGCCTGATATAAAATCGCTAAGCCCGAAGCCCAACGTTGCAGATAAGCAGGAACCAACCATTCTGGCCCCAACCACCTCCTGCTAGAGAAAAGCAAGTCTATAGAGTTGTGGATTTATGGGGTTTGGGGAAGTCTGGGGTGTAAGGGCGAGTTCGGATGCCCTTTCCTGGGGGTTCCGAAGATAAGCCCCAAGCCCTGCACCCCTAAACCCTAAACCCTAAACCCTAAACAAGGGATGCATTGTGGAGAAGATACCAAGTTGAAGCTGGGCGGCTCGTCACTCGTAGTACCTTGGGCCGGCGGGTGCGCTGAAATCCTGAACCCTACCAGTCTTGCCCAAGGGTCTGGGTTTGGGGATTCGGCTAGGAGATTTTCGCACTGCGAGTCAGCTCAACATTTGGGTGTGCTTGTTGGGACATCCGGGTGCCGGATCTGTTTTTTGTGGCCCCCCCCTAAGCCACTTTACAGTTTGCCCAGCCACAGAGGAAAAGATTGCAGCAGCAGCCATCGACAGTGGGGCGCGTGGCTCGCTCCACAAGCTCGTCGAAGTACTGGCAGATGGAGGTTCTCTAAACTGCACCTAGTAGCCTCCTAAAGTGTATATATATATATATACATATATATATATATTTATATTTATTTATTTATTTAATTATTTATTTATATTTATATTCATATTTTTATTTATCTATATTTCCATTTATATGTATATTGATATTTCTATTTATATTTATATTTATTTTGAGAACTATATTTATATTTATATTTAGATGTATAATTATCTTTATATGTATATTTATATTTATATTTTCATATATATTTATATTTGTATACATATGTATATATGTATATACATATATTCTTTATTCGTACATATATATATATATGTGTATATATATATATATATATACATATCATGCATATATCTATATACATACATACATATATGGCTACCCAGAAGGGGTTAAGCACAACAACCAGCCTCCTAAAGTGTACTTATATTATATGCATACATAAACATATGTATGTATATATATATATATGACATGTATACAGCAAGTCATGGCACTGAAGGCTTGCCGCAGAAAGGTGTTTAGAAATGGAGCGCAGCAACAGCCGGTCCCAGATTCAACCGCTTCGGCTTTAGAGTTTGAGGTATCATTTTTCAAGCCTCGGAGTTTCGCTTCACAGCATTTTCTATAGCAGTTTAGCGCCAGCAATCTAGCGCCATGGTCTAAAGCAGTGGCTGAGGGTTGTGTTTACCTCTGCTAGGGCTCGATGTTTCTACCGACAGCGCCATTACTACTGCAAAAATCTCATGCATCAACACCACGGATTTTGTCCTGATTAACGAACACTCTTGACAAAACCTGCTCCTCTTAGTTGCTGTTCCTCCAAGCCTCACATTGCCAGCTAAACGATGTTTCCATGACCCTTGGCTGCGGACAACTTGGACCGTCATTCAGAACCTGAACCTTCCTAGAGTTTTGGGTAGACTGCGTCAGAAAGCGTAAGAACCCTTCAACTCGAAACCTTCGGGACGGGGCCCGGCTCCCACAAGCCCCAGCCTTTGAACTATCATTGAGGTTTTGCAGTCCGAGCATGCATATTCACTCCGACTCAACTGGTATCCAGCGAAGATGACCCCTACGTCAAGGGCCTGCGTCTTCACGACTTTTCCGTCACAGTCCTACGGGAGGCTTCGGGATTCAGGACTACGATGAGGTGGATCAAACTTGGGCACCTTCTTGAACTCGGACATATACAATAGACATGAGGAGGGCCCGCAATCTAGGTCAGCTCCCGTGCAAGGATGCAGTGTAGGCGACTTAGGGTTTCCGGGCGGGGGGGAGAGCATAGTGTTGAACAGGCAAGGTTGCATTTCACGCTTCTTCGATGCGACCCCAGAAACCCGCACCTCACCACCGCTGGGTCATCATAATCAGGAGGCATGTTGTTGAATGGGGTTTAGGGTTTAGGGTTTAGGGTTTAGGGTTTAGGGTTTAGGGTTTAGGGTTTAGGGTTAGGGTTTAGGGTTTAGGGTTTAGGGTTTAGGGGTAAAGAAGCCCGAGCCGAAAAGGGGAGATTAGCACCACTGGAGGTCCTAAGATTCACGACTTCACTAGGTACCAAATCCACCTCTGGACATGGGAGGGTTTCCATGTCAAGGTACCTTTTGGAGATCCTACTATCATATGGAACCTTATATATACATATATATATATATACATATACGTATACATATATGTACATATAGGGTCCCCAAAAAGGGGTTCAATTTTAAGAATTCCCAACATTCAGATTCACCGCCAGCGCCTGCCTTGAACGCAACTCGTTTCACCAAGTACTGATAGAAGACGCCTGAGGCGTGTCCACGTTTCAGGGCTTTCCGGCCTCTACAGGGTTCAGGGTGCCGGGTTTATACTTTATATAGGCTCTGTATTAGGGTTTATAGGGTATATACGGCTTGTAGGGTTCATAGTTATAGGGCTTAATAGGGTATAGGGTTCAGGGTTTCGGGCTGAGAGGCCCCTTTGCTGAGGAGCGGCAGCAAAAACCGCAGTCATGGATGGAGTCCCCAGTCTCATCAGAAGAATATAGTATAATAGACTATACAACAGCCTCTATGATGAAAAGAAGGAGTCGGAATAAGAAACGTAATCAAAACAATAAGACTCAGAATAGTCATAACAATACTAGTAATAATACTTATAATAGGAATCATAAGAATAAGAAGAATAACAATACTAAAATGCTTGTCATGATAGTGGTAATAGTGCCAGTGCCCTCAAAGGAAAGTTGCAACCCTAGCTCTCGGCGCGGCTTTGAGCAAAACATGTTGAACATCCAAGACAGTCTAAACCCTAAACCCTAAACCCCAAACCCTAAACCCTAAACCCCACACCCCAAACCCCAAACCCTAAACCCTAACCCCTGAGCCCTAAACTTTTACACTCAAATTAAAGAGTTCAGAGCTCAGGACCCCCAGTGGCTTAGGGATTCGAACCAGAACATGTTGAGATGAGATGCCAGTGTAGGGGTCGCCCCCAGAAACGGAGACCCTCCCAGGTCAGATCTGATTTTTCCAATTCTGGGGTGGGGGGGTTTGGTGGAGCGGGTGTAGGATAGCCCAGGGTTAGGTGATTCTTGTGCATGATTAGGGTTTGGGGTTGGGGGTTTAGGGTTTAGGGGGTTTAGGGAAAGTTTAGGGTAGGCTGTTTTTTTGTTTTGTTTTTTTTTTTTTTTTTGGGGGGGGGGGGTGTCCTTCACATGGATTCCGTTTCAGAGTGCCACCTGCGGGGGACCAATCCAACAAGTTCCTTTCCAAGGGCCCAGGATGCACACCAAGGATTCTTGCAAGGAAACCAAAAGAGGGTTTCGGGTTTAGGGTTTAGGGTTTAGGGTTTAGGGTTTAGGGATTAGGGTTTAGGATGTCACCATCTGAGCCTAGTAGGTAATATTTCTCAGGGCATTTGTAAAGCATGATCTGCCCAAACAGCGCAAGAACGCGAAAACGACCCATCGCGAGTGTCACTCCCTGGCGCGCGATCCAAGGCCAAAATACAAATACAGCTCCCCACTTTGTGTGCAGCATGCACGCGGGACCGATGCTTAACTTCTGGGGTGTTTAAGGGACCCTTAAAAGAGGAAAACGAGGCACCACTGGGAACCCAACCCGAAACCCGGCGCTAAAACTTAACCCTGTAGACTCCAAACGCCCTAAATCCCCATACCACGACAAGCTGTGACAAGCGGAGCAAGACGTGGAGGGTCATCTGGGGCGGGGTGTTTAGCAACGGAACGACGTGTCGGGCAAGCCATCAAGAAGCACAGGGGTTCGAGGCGTTAGGGCACACGGCTTTGAGGATACAGGCCCCTGGGAGTCCATTGCTACGTTTGAACGCCCCAGCTTCCTCTAAGAAACACATGATGGAGACCTCGACATGCCTTTTTATGGCGCAGTCCGCCGAAGTCCTGCCATACTCCTATGAGAACTGGTGCTGCTACCTCAAACCGCCCACGAAATTTGGGGAAAGTAGCTTCCCAATATTTGGTAAAAATAGTTTCCGCACATTTAGCAGGAAAATCCGCCGAGGCCTCGGGCCGGAGGTGTATAGGTTGTCAGAACAAGCACCCACACCCAAAGCCCTCTTTTTTTGGCCTCAAATGGGTACCCCCGCTGGAAACCGGGGCCAGGACCAGAGGCAGTTGAACCCCCCCCACCCCCCCCCCCTCCACTCCCCCCCCCCCCGCCCCCCCCACCCCCCCCATGCCCCCTCCCTCCCCCACCCCCTCCCCCCCCCCCCCCACCCCCTCCCCTCCCCCCACCCCACCCTCTCCCCCCCCACCCCCCCCTCCCCTCCCCCCACCCCACCTCCCTCTCCCCTCCCCCCCACCCTGCCAAAGAGTCGCCTTCAACCTTAAGGGGCCTGGCTCAACCCTACGATCACTCCAAGCCGAACCCTAAACCCAAGAAAAACCCTCAACCCCAAAGCGTGAACCTTGAGCCCTAAACTAACCCTCAACCCCAAACCCCAAACCATAAACCATAAACCCGGAACCCTCAACCCTCAACCCTCAACCCAACCCTTATTGCTTGGGAACCAGCGACTTGGGCGCTGCGCTGCGGAATCACCATGCTCACGCGGATGCGCTGGGCCGGGCCGAGGCGGGTCGCGTAGCGTTAAAATTGAGGCCGTTGTTTATGGCCTCAGCAGATCCTCGCCAACGATGAAGTCAACTGGGGTTCCGTCTGGGTACAAGAGCTTCCCCTTGTCCTGCTGCTCATCATACAAACATCATACAAACAAACAACAAACAATGCTACAACCCAAAGGCAAAAGCTTGGGGGGGGGGGGGGGGGGGATGGTCATATCTGGGATGATCTCCTATAGGTTCTCCTATAGGCTCTGACGTCATATCCTATACGAAGTCCCACAATACGATCCTGCAGATTCTCCTGCAACCCCCAACTTTTACTAAGATGGAGCTTCCAGGTGTCGGCCCAGAATGACCGAGTTGAGGGTTGAAAGTCTCAGACGGATCCGAACTTAATGCTTTCAACCTGGACTCGCCAGAAAAGTTCTGGATGGGGCCTTCAAGAGAATTCGGGAATTAGCGAAGCTTGATTCCAAAAAAACCTACTGAGAACAAGACTTGGCATCGTGGCGCATGGGGATGCTTGAATGCTTGGGCAGACAAGCCTACACGCCAACGCATCGGTCTTCTCGCCTGAAGCACGTCACCTGAGGCCGATCGCCGCTGCCGCCTTTTGAAAACCCAAAAACCTCAACCCCGAAAAACCCTAAACCCTAAACCCTAAACCTTAAACCCCTTGTCTGCCAACTGCCACCCACCTCTTCTCCAAGGACGTAGATCCAATCATCGCCGTTGGTCAGCCCAACCCACTTCGGGTTCCTTGCGGCCAAGACCGAATAAAGATATTGCAGCATTGTGAATTGTGTTTATAAACAAACAATTCACAAGTAGTATTATTATGTGGAACAAGAGAATCATGTGAGAATTATGGTGCTGCTCCCCTCCTGGCCTTGGTTTCAGAAGCTGCTTCTGCAGTCTTCGTTTGTGATCCGCTTGGTCGAGACTTGAGCCGTTCACTCCATGCACTCATTTACAAGGATCCGAGATCACAAGGATCGGATCGGAGCTCTGGGCTACCCCCATAGCTCAGTGTATCCTACCGTACTAACCCGTATATGTGATATATTACGTTGACAATGTGACACTAAAAAAGAAATATAGTCTGTTGGTTGTTTGTGGTGGGGGGGCACCCATGGCATGCTGGAGGCATGCGACCTTTACGGCGCATGCAGCACATGCACATGTGGCGGAGCGTGTCCAAGCTCCATACCCCTGAATGCTTTCTGCTTGTCACAACAGCGGGCCCCATTGCAAGCTTCGAAGCTCGCAAAGCCCCAAAAGACCCAAACCACTACACTGCAGACCCTTCATAACCCGAGATCTGTCCAGACATCCAAGCACGGCATGCTTAAATGCAGGTTCTAACCCTGAACCCTACACCCTAAACCATAGCCCAAAACCCTAAACCCTAAACCCTAAATCCTAAATCCCAAACCCTAAACTCTTCGAGAATGCCAGCTTGGGCACGCCCCAGGCTCGACCTGGAAGCCTGCCGGGAACTTCTTGATCGATGCCAGAAGGCTTCCAAGCCTGCCACTCTGAACCCTCAACCCTAAACCCTAAACCCTAAACCCTAAACTGAGCCCCAGCCAGGTCCGGCATACGGGAACCTGCCGACTGCTAGACTCAGCTGAATACGGGCATTTCCCCCAAATCAGGGTACTCTGAATACACCCCCAAGATAGTCGTAAACTCCTTGTTATAGGAAATTCAAAAGGGTACCCTCTTTCGGAAAACCCCCATGTAACCCCCATGGTTGCATCTGAGTTGTGCACAGGTTGGTGCCCGTGGACCAATTGGTTCCAGTATCCTGGGCATCTCGGATGAGTCCAGTAGTGCGGGGATGATATTGAGCGATATTTGCTCGCGCTTCACATGATCTTCTGCGCGGTCAGAGTTGCAAGCACGTCTGATACTGTTAAACAAGATGACAAACAACCATACACCCTAAACCCAAAACTAGCTACGAAATTGATGCCCCGGGAGAAAGCCCAGGTATGCTCCGAGGATTCAAGGTTCAGTTATTACAGCATGTCAGGCGTAGGGTCCTGCATGCCAAGACTCTTTCGTGCCAAAGCGGCCATCGGGTCTCCAGGCGGCATCCTCGCAGGGGAATTCGGCAGAGGATTAATCGGGTCTACATCACTTGCAAAGCCTTGCCGGTGTTGATCTTGCATGGGGCTCTTTGGAAAGCCGAAGCCCCGAGACCGGCCTGAAATGTGAGCAGAGTTTCGTTGGCAATGTTGTCCTGGCCGCGTGAGCTTTGCTGGGCATGCTAACGACTTGCGATGAAAAGCTCCAGATATTGTTTTATGTTCTTATGATATGCACAAATACATCTGACATTTCATAACGAAGTGATGCTACATGTATGTATGTATGTATGTATGTATGTATGTATGTATGTATGTATGTATGTATGTATACATGTGCGATTGGACCTTCATATGTTTTGTCTTCAATATTGTGACATGAGTGCTGGATGTTTGTGAAGATGATCATGGTGCTATACAAATGACTGAACACACATCTATATATATATATACACACACAACAATGCTCTTCTCTAAGCGGCAGCCTCTGACACAAATAAAGAAATAAATATATATATATGTAGTAAGATAAGTACATACAATATACAAATATAGAGAGACAGTCCACATACACATACTTGTTTCTGTCTTTTTATGGAACAATTCACAATTCAGCAAACATGCACATGCACGATAGCACAAAAACGACATGAATGTCGGAATAACTTTTTATGTACATATGTATATGGTATTGGATATAAGTGATGATACATCGAAACTATAATACAATGCCTACAACGTAAAGTGTATCAAGCAAACACGCTATACACAGTGCAAAACACCTGGCTACCAATAAACATACCAAGAACAATACATAGCATCATGTATAACGTCGTTAAAATGAGGAAAGCAGGACTAGAAATCTTGGAGAACAAACTGCAGAGAACAAGACATGTCAACATATGTAGTTATTTACGTAATACAACATATATATATATGTACACATATATATGTATATACGTATGTAACGAAAATACCATAAAGAACTACATACAATATATATATATATATATATCTACCCCCAGAACCACCCCTCATATATCAATCCCGCCAGGTCAAAAGCCCTAAAAATAAAGTGTCGCAGAGAATAGCGAGTGGTTTTTCTTGGATTTGTTTTGGCTTTTGCTTGTTCTATGTTCTTTGGATTTGCTTTTGTGTGAAGTACAAGCCAGGCCCCAAAAAACGTACTGCGCAATTTATGCTTGTCTCGCAATGCTTCTACCACGCAAGACGTCGTACTAATATAGAAAGCCCGCGAAGTGAGAAAATAGAAGGTTCGTGGAAGCGAGTTGCGAAGTTTCCACAGATACCCAAAGGATCGAAAACATGATGGGAGTAGTAACACTCGAGCCTCTATAGCGTCTCTCTCCGGTGTGAAGGCCAGGCTTCATATGCCGTAGTACATCCGAGCCTAATTTTAATGGGGTGTTGGATTTGTGGGGTTTCCTAGTGTGGGCAAACTATGAAACTCTTAAGAAATTATGTTTCCTGGTTTGTTCTGTGCGAATTGTGCTTGTATAGGCAGCGTATACTATAGCTACATGCATGTTCATACATGTCCGTGTGCATGTGTGTTTACTTGTATGTTGATTTACATATTTGGCTTGTATTCTTTGCAAAGCCAATCAAAGGGAATTAGGTCGAATACCCTCCAAGAGGAGTAGCACGCGCAAGGTGAGAGGCTGAAGTCCATGAAACACCGGTGAGCTTGTGAAAAAAGCCCTGGTTGGTTCCGTCCTTACCTTTATGAGGGTCTCTTGGGCTTTCGGCTTTCGGGAAGGTGTCCAGTTCGTGCTAAACCCATACCAAGCACAATCGCACGTACGAGGAGTCACCAAGCTCCCGGGGGGGGGGGGGGGGGTCCTTCATCCACCAGATGCCGCGGAGGAAATCCGGGCAATGCGGGTTGTCCCTCTCCAGCATAAGTGGAAGCCAGTCCTTTGCTTTACGAGTTTTAGGGTTCAGGGTTTCTTGAGTATCCCACACAGCGCCGAAAAACAAACAGCGATTGAGAGAGGCGGTTAAGGGCAACTTAAGCATCGGCTTCGTCTGTGTCAACACCCCCCCCCCCCCCCAATACTAGCCTCCCCAAAACAGACCCTGCTATGTCGCATGCAGCATACCTCAACAGCAGTCCCTACTTAGGAGGTTGTACAAGTTCCTTCTGGGACCGCCTAAACAAAAAGGGCTTCGGTTTGGGGTTTAGGGTTTGGGGCTCAAGGTTTCGAAGTTTAAGGGCGCCCTCTAAACGGTCTACAAAATCGGCTCGTGGCATGTGAGGCATGGCCAAGCGACATCCTTGGAGATCTGGAACTTCTTGAAGGGGCCATCTCGGTCAGGTTTAGGGTTTAGGGTTTAGGGTTTAGGGTTTAGGGTTTAGGGTTTAGGGTTTAGGGTTTAGGGTTTAGGGTTTAGGGTTTGGGGTTTAGGGTTTAGGGTTTAGGGTTTAGGGTTTAGGGTTTAGGGTTTAGGGTTAAGGGTTTAGGGTTCAGGGTTTAGGGTTTAGGGTTTCGAGTTTTAGAGTTTAGAGTTTAGGGTGTAGGGTAGGCGTGGGCATGAGCTTGGTTCTTCGAAATCTATGGACAACAACTTCGCGGATTGGCCGGCGGCCCAGGTTACGAAACTACGAAAACTCTGCATTGGGGGCCCTTCTGGTGGGGGAATACCTTGCGCACTAGGGTTTAGGGTTTAGGGTTTAGGGTTTAGGGTGTAGGGTTTAGGGTTTAGGGTTTAGGGTTTAGGGTTTAGGGTTTAGGGTTTAGGGTTTAGGGTTTAGGGTTTAGGGTTTAGGGTTTAGGGTTTAGGGGAAGAAATCCCTACCCCACAGCCTGGCCTACAATGCATACCGACCCACACGCACGGAAACTACCTTTAGCTGGCCTTAGCTTTCCAAGACAGCATTTAAGAACACCTTCTCACTGAGGCCTTGAGATTTCTTTTGGTGAGGTGTCTCTGGGCTTAGGTTTGCCAGGGGTTTACATGATTGGCCTTTCGGAAGACTTTCGGAAGAGGAGAATAGTATAAGGGTACCCTGGGGCTCCCAATTTGTCAATGGGGTCAGTTCTCACTACTTATTCTAGTGCGTTGAGGAGCCATACCTGGTTTTCTGTGGTGCACGTACTACTAGCAGCATCATACTACCTCTCGCAGAGGTCGGTGCATGCGTATCGCACATTTTGCATTCCTCTGGTCCTAACATGCAGATATCCAGCTCTGTACAAAGTTGTTGGCTCCATATTTGGCGCCCATGAATAAGTAATCGAGTGGCTTTACAATGCATTTGGGTGTGACCCAGGTTTCGAGGAGTGCAGACCTGGAAAATTCACCACCCCCAACCAGAGCTGCATGTGGTGATTGTAATTAATTATAACGTATGCGCGAGCCAAATTATGTCTAAATCGGCTCGGCGAATGCAGAGAATTTAGTATTTTGTTGTTCTTGCCACGGGTGCATAGGTATGATTACTGTGCAGCAACCGCAAGAACTATATTATCATGACTCGTGAATGTCATGAACGAAGCGCATGAAAAGAGCGCCAAAATGCGCCAAAGAACGCCCCAAAGACCCAACGACAAGACCTAGTAATAACGGCCCAAGACCCTAAACCCTAATCCAAAGTGCGATCGCACCTAGGCCTAAACGAAAGCCAATCACCACTAAGTTCATTTTGACCGAAACCTTCAATCCCAAACATCCTAAAACAGACCCTACAGCCTGTAACTTGATAGCCCAGCAACTACAGCAAGGGCACCTTGCTTGTGGCGCAAGGCTGCACTGTACCCTAAACCCTAAACCCTAAACCCTAAACCCTAAACCCTTATAGTAAACAGGCCCCTGCTGGGCCGGGCCGCATTTTTGCTGGAGGTAGCGCGTCGCACAGCATGGAGGCGTAGCACAGATCCAGGCCCTGCGGCTTGGGGGTTCGGGTTTATATGGTCAGGGTTTATAGGGTTTAGGGTTTTTTGGGGTTTAGGGTTTAGGGTTTAGGGTGTAGGGTTTAGGGTTGAGGGTTTAGGCGGGTTTAGGCGGGTTTAGGCTGGTTTAGGCTGGTGTAGGGTTTAGGGTTTAGGCTGGTTTAGGGTTTAGGGTTTAGGAGGGTTTAGGGTTTAGGGTTCAAGGGTTGGGATGTTCCCCTTTTACTAGCAGTCCTTAATGGTGACTTTTAATGGGGGGGGAGGGGGCGGGGTACTAAATCCCCATTTAGGACTGTTGGTTTTTAGGGGGAACATCCCAAATAGGGGGATTTACAGGGCTTGGCTCCAAGTGCTTGTTGGTGTGGTTTGGGCTTTAGGGGTTAGGTTGCGGGCCTAGGGAGGGGGCGGGTGCATACAGGGAGCTGAGCGTCTAAGCCGCCGAAAGCTTTGTGACCTCACAAGGAATCCTGAATGCTAGTGGACCTATGTTCCTCAGTAGCCTGAGAAGAGAAAGTGCCAACATTTGTTTCATGGACTGTGCAAAGGATTTTAGGGTTTGGAGCGGCACGTGGTCCCAAAGCACCCCACTCCCTACACCTCTGTGAATTATACAGGGCTTCGTAGCATGGGGGTCCCCTTAGGCTTCACTGCAACTTCGACCCATTCTACTGCCGTTTTCGAAAAAGGCATTGTTCTCAAATGCGGTCCTTGCATAGGATACGTACATGGAATAAGGGAATCCCTCTGTTAAGGACCCCTATTTGAGACAAACCCCAGAATCCGGATCCCAGAAAGAAGGCCGAGCCCGGCACCTGCCTTGGCGGAGCAAAGTAGCAATTGCGGCAGCCCTGGGCAAATGCGGCCTCCAAGATCGGAGGTCAGGAATCAAGGTCTATGGGCCGGCAGGGGCGCTCACCACCCAAATGAATCAAGTGCTGAGTGCCCCAAACCCGAAACCGTGCTAGAATGGAAGTATGTATTTTAGGTTTGTCTGCAATGCGGACTGCGTGTATACATTTACATATACATATATGTATATACACACACACTAGAAAAGGCAACCTTCTGAAAACTCCTGTTCTGGGCATGGTTCTGAACAGAGTTTCATAGTCAGTCTCGCGGTAAGGACGTACTCTGAGTGTCCATGAGACTTGCCACGTTCTCAGAAATACTCTACTATTGCATCTTCTGGCTCAGCTCCATGAGGGATTGAGCTCCGGAATTTACACATCAAAACCTGTAGCCCGAGGCGTTAAGTACACCCTGAACTCAAGAACTCCAAAACCTTATCGGGTTTAATTAGGGGAACCTTTCATAGGGCTGGCCCAAGTCTTAAAACGAGCTTTCCTGAAATAGCTAGAAAGCGGTTCAGAAGCAACCTGAACAGGCTTTTGAAAAGGTTCTGGCTTCCATTTCATGCAGGGTCAGAACTGAATAGGAACAGGCACAGACTCGGCGCAGAGGGACGTTTCTGAAAGAGGGCTCCGCTCACCCGAAACACTAAACCCTCAACCCTCAACCCTCAACCCAAACCCCAAACCCTAAACCCTCAACCCTAAACTTCAGCAGGAAGGCCCGGAGAAAACCCGAAATCCCCTACAGCACCGGTTTCTGCATTGTAGGTCGGCGCCGGCCTTCTTCTGAGGTGGGTCGAAGGTCATGTAAGGGAGCTTGGAGTCCTGGTGTTTAGGGTTTAGGGTTTAGGGTTTAGGGTTTAGGGTTGTTACAGGGGGCCTTACAGGGTTTGAGAATTACGCGCGCTAGGGGCTCTGCTGGTTTGGGGGCTAGAGGGCTGACGGAAGAAACCGCAAGCCCTGGGGGAAAGGACGACGGAGTTCCCGAAGAGAAGTTGCCCTGTAGCCTGGGAATCAAGTGAGTGCCCGTGAGCCCCTAAAAAAAAAAGCCCCAAACCCCTAAATCCAAAACAAAGCCTCGGGCGGCAAGAGGTCATTGGGTTTTGGGTTTTCAGGGTTTAGGATTTAAGGGGGTTTGATGCGAATTCGGGTTTAGGGTCTAGGGCTCTTGTGCCCTCATGCGGAGGATGTCACCAGACGACATTGACAGCTCGAGGTTTACGGTTCTGGGTTTAAGTGCAGGTTTAGGGCTTTTGGGCCGGGCTTAAGGTTTTCGGGGTTAGGCTCAAGGCTTTAGGTTTAACTAAGCGCCTGCAAAAGGTCACATGATAAATATGTTGAGGCTTGAGGGGAACCACGTAACCCAAATCTGCCGAGACCTCGGGCCGTAGGTGTCTTGGAAGCAAAAAAAGCAGGTAATACTGATTTCTTGTTTCCCACCTCGCTGCTGGGCAGGCCCAAGCCGAGGCGGGTCGCCGAGCGTTAAAACTAGAATAAGTTGAGGTTCTTGTTTTCAAAATTCGGGCCCTGTTGTGGTCTCTGCTATAGAGATGTCCTTCTTCTTCAGGTTACCAAATGGGGGTCCCTAAATCCCCGAAGATCCCTTAGCTTGAAACCCGCTACATTCTCCAGGCAACCCTTCTGCGAGCCTTGATCAGCTCATGCCACTTGTGGAAGTTGATCTGCAGGTCGGAGAAAAGAGAGTTTAGGGTTTAGGGTTTAGGGTTTAGGGTTTAGGGTTTAGGGAGTTTAGGGTTGAGGGTTTAGGGTAGTTAGTGTGTGAGAGTTCAAGTCCTTGGGGCCCCCCAGAGTCTTGAAACAAACCGGCGAGTGAGAATCGTCATGGCAGTGCCCGGTTTAGGGGTTTGGGGTTTAGGGTTTAGGGCTTAGGGTTTAGGCCTCCGATGACCAACATGAGCGCTGTACGATGGCCGAATGCCGCTCTACTCTAAGCTGTTGCCGCCAGCCTGTCTGGTTGACATAACGCGTTGGAATCTATAACGAAATACACTCAACCTTGATTCCTTCATCCCAAGCCCCTTCCAATTTTAGAGTCCTGAAACCTAGAACTCAACTGCAAGACTCCACAACACCATGCGATCGGAGTCACGCTCCCATCGGGGTTGATCGTCGGCCTAGGATCACCTTTGTGGCGTGGGCACCCTATTCACCCTAAACCCTGTTGTAGACCTAGCATTTGTATCAACCTTTGAGGGAGTGTATGCGGGGTACCTGATTCCCAGATTCCTTGCTCAGAACCAGTAAGAATCACAGGAGCTTTAGGGTCTCAATATTCGACTGCCAAGCTTTCGGGTGTCCCTCTGTGAGAACAGCTATCTGTGAGAAACTCTACCTTAAAGTCGAACAGCCCGGCAGGGAGGGGTCCAGGGTGACTCCTGGGACACGGGCTCACAATCGGGTCTGAGCACGGCAACGCGGATCGAAAGACCAATTCTGGACAAGGAGTGGCTGCAGGCGGAGGTGTATGAAGGATGAATCGCAAGCCTCAACCATCCCCACCTCGATGTCGCCCCAAAACAGAGGAAAAAAATCACACGTCGCCTCTGATAGGATAAGAACGCATCGCCTCATACAGTTAGTTCCCGAAGCAAGCCGCAACAAGGACCCCTGTAAACTCTTTGGGCACAGCGTCTGTTAATCTGGATGCCGCAGCAGTCCACGAAGAACTGGCCTACGCTTAAGACCGACATGGCTCCAAGGCCTCGGGCGGTTGCGAGGCGCAGGGGGCAGGAATGTGCTTCTCTGCTTCTTCGGGAAGGCACACTTGGCACAAGCGGCTGCGCGTCCTGCTTCTACAAGCTTGAATCACCGAAAGAATACACAAAACTGCCTGTATGTATGAGTGGCATGTGTTCAGCAGCAAGTCATGGTTCCCGGCCCCACAGCAACCCTAGGAAAAAAAAAGAAAAACTCGTTCTTTGCGTGGTGCATAACGGAACCCATTCCTTGAAAAGGTAACTGGGCATCTACGGATTTAACAATCTGGATATTTTGGGTTTTCTGGCACTCCGGGCCCCCAAAGCCACGAGCCTTGTCCGAGGAAACTCTGGGACACAAAAAGCTACCTCAAGCCCTCCTACCTTTGGGGGCACCTCGTCCTATATTTGGGGGGATTTAGGGGGTTTAGGGCTTCAGGATTGAGGGTGAAGGCCCTGAACGTGCGAGTCGCGTCGCCCGGGCAAGAGATCAAGGAAGGGCCGAAGCTGATTGGTCCCCCTAAGAAGCCCGGATGGCTGCGTTCGGTTTAAGGGTATAGGGTTTAGGGTTTAGGGTTTAGGGTTTAGGGTTTAGGGTTTAGGGTTTAGGGTTTAGGGTTTAGGGGTTAGGGGTTTAGGGGTTTAGGGGTTTAGGGGTTTAGGGGTTTAGGGGTTTAGGGTTTAGGGTTTAGGGTTTAGGGTTTAGGGGCTTAGGGTTTTAGTGGCTAGACAGGGCTAGACGGGTTAGATGGGTTGGATGGGTTTAGCTGGGTTTCGGGTGTGCGGCCAAAAGGCTTGCCGGCTGGAGTGTACTGTAGAGTGCTGGGTCTGGGTGACTATGGTTTCAGATGGCGATTTTGCTGGAGGTAGGGGCTCCTAGTAGAGCTTTGGGACTTTCTTGGCTACGTAGATCCAAGCCCCCACATAGACTGGCCATTACAGGCGTCAAAGACCGCCGGCGCATCCTCTAACCCTACATCACATCCACATCCCTCAACCCTCAACTCCAACCTACACCCTCAACCCTAACCCGAGCAGACTCCATGCAAAGCAGGAGGTCGGACTTTTGAAGTCTGAAGGAGCGTCGCCTGTGCAAACGAACTTAGGCTCTAGGGGGGGGGGGGGTTCTGTTCTTGCTTCAGCAAGTCTCTGAGGTGTGCGGGAAGTAAAGAGCTGTTCCTACTTATACCGCCAACATATCTCAAATAGGGACCCGACATCCGTAGTTCCCTTTAAGAACCAGCAAGGCTGGAGGCTCTGGTCCGCTGTCCCTATCAAGGTATAGTATACTCATTCAGCTATTCGGCATCGAGGCGTGCCGGCATATATTGCAGGCGTCTCGAATCAATCGACATGAGCCCCGAACAAGGGCAAAGTCTCTGCCCAACGCCATGACTGCAACTCGCCAGCGTCTGCACAGAGAGCTTGCGCGAGAAGCCCAAAAACCATGTGCCGCATCCTAAAGGTCAGCGCGCTGCGACCCCAAAGCATGTAAAACCTGGCCTTCGGGATAGACTCCTCGGATGCCCTGCTTCGGGGTTCGGGTTTCCGCTGCTAGGGTCATGTGGAGCCAACGGCTGCCCTGCAAGGTTAATAGTATATTCTCATGGAAGGGCGCTAGCCACTAGCAAAAACCCCTACTCGCATGTCCGACCTATAGCCGCCAAAGAAAAAGCAAACGACCGGATTTTGTCGCTAGACCAGGCTATAGTAGATAGTCGCAAGCAAGAGGTTGGGCTTCTTTGAAATGAAGCTTAAACCGCTGGCGAAGTTGCCCACCGGGCTTCCCACTGGCCACCCAGGCTGGAATCCTACATTAGGGTTTAGGGTTTAGGGTTTAGGGTTTAGGGTTTACGGTTTAGGGTTTAGGGTCGAAGCCAGAAAATCCTTGAGCTCCTCAGAGCCCTCGAAAATCGGAAGCTCGACACCCTCATTGTGATCCTATGCCGATTCAGTCGCCCAACACCTTGAGAAGCACTGGGACGGTTATCTTTTGTAGTTGGGCCCTATGCAGTACAAGGTCCCAAACCCGCAGCCCTATCTTTCAAGGCCGACCCACACTAGACTGTACCTTGCTGCGCTCCCCAAAAAAGGAGTATGACCACGGGGTGAAAAAATGAGCAACAAGGGATATTCAACCACGTCCGTAAACCCTGAACCCTAACCTGCTGAGCCTGCAAAGGTTGGGTGAGGGCATCGTCTTTGCTCGGAATCACAGCTGGAAGTACCCAGTGAGCCCACTGCCCTGAAACTCGGGTTTAAGTTTTATGGGCCAACGTCTAGGGCTCAAGGTTTGTACTTCAGTTCATCCTCAGTGATGTGCACCCAGTGGAATTCTCTTGGTTGTCGACAAAGAACGAATAATCATCACATTTCAGCTCCATGATTCGACTTCTATAGTTATTGTCATTACTACGGTACTCTCCAGCGAAATGCTGTTATGTAGCAACATGTTATACCATACAATATAGTACCATGTTGTACTTAAACATCTTATGTCCGCTTCTCTGCAGAAGCGCAATTCTTCTCGGAAGCCCGTCGCTGGTTCACAAAAGGGTACCGTATGGGGGGGGAGTCTACAGGGTGCTTGTTCGGAATGCATTCTGTAAGAGTGACTTCAGCGAACTTGTTCCCATGAGTTCATACGCAGCTACCCTAACCCCCCAAGCATTCAGGCGAAACATTGCATAGTAAAAGGGGACTCTTCACGCCACCTCCTCGGATCAGTTGAGAGGGTGACTGGCCTCCCCCAAAGCTTGAATTTAAATTCACGAAATGCTAAGAAACACCCTAAAGCCCCCCTAAGCCCTAAAACCCCGAACCACCCCAACCTCCTAAGGCCTAAACCCTGCTGCAACCCAAAATTCTGGAGCCCTAAACCCCCCAAACCCTGGAGCCCGAACGTAACCCCCCCGCAACCCGGAAGCCCCACGTGATCAGTTCTCTCAATCATGTCAAACGGCGCCAGAACTTTCCGAAGCCCTGTATGCCCTACAGCCCCGAAACCCTGAAACCTATCCCCTGCAATCCTAATAACCCTAAACCCCACAATCCTGAAACCCTAAATCATATCGAGTCCTAGCACCCTAGATGCTGCACGGGGGCCAGGGCTGCTGCGCGCCGCCGACGGGCGCCATGGCTTCCAGGCAGGACCCCAAAACGTCTACTTGGGGGGCTTGCGAAATTAGGGGGCACCTTATTGGGGTCGATAAGGGAATCTTACAACTTGGGGGTCTATACTGGGGGTTCCCCTAGGTTCGTAAAGTCCCATTTCTGAAAAGCCTTAGCTGCAAGGAGAAGTCTTGTTGAAGCTGTTCGGGTCATAGACATGATGATGGTCTAGGGTGAGCTACGGTTTTTTCAGATCAGTCCAGTCACCAAGGGCCAGATACGTTTCCTGAATCCGTCAGATACTCACTTAACTGGCCGGTGTCTACTGCTTGCTTCAAAAGGACGCGAAAGCCCGTATGTGTTTGGATTTTGGCCCCCGACGTGCAAGCCAACACTAAATTTAAACATCATTCCAGAATACAAGTCAGAGTGCGCTCGGAGGACTGAAAAAGCAAAACCGCTGCACTTTCTTGGAATCGAGGTGCCCTGGCACATCTGCATGCAATAATAGTGCTGGCAGGCAGCATGGTTCGAGTGGATGTGAACAGCGACATCTGTACCTCATGGTGGTGGGTACTGCCACGGACGAAGCACGGAACGTGGGTGACTCGCGCATGACTTAGGGATCTCGGATGTCGTACATCCTGTTGAGCTCTGGTACCGTGGCAAAATGGACCCAGAACAATGAAAGTCCAAGCTGAAGGAGCCAGCGTATCAGCGTATCCTGCTGCATGATGCCACTTAGCCCTAGTATAGTCTTGCCGGGTCTCCTCCAACCTAAACCCCGAGCGATCCCGACCCAGGAAACCAAACTGAAATCTCAAAGGCCCAAAGCCTCCACACATCGCAGCGGGAGGAGAGAGGAGCGCTACGGGTTTGGGGTTCTGGCTTGGGCCCTCATGTAGAAACCCTAAACCCTAAACCCTAAACCCTAAACCCTCATCCAGGGAGCCTATCGAGCGGTCCGTGTCCGGCCCTCCAACGCGGGCGAAAACGTCGGAAAGGACACCTGCCAAAGGGCTTTGTGGGTTTAGGGTTTTCTGGGTGTATAGTATAGGGAGTTCGTAGAAAGAGCGAGAGAGAGTGTGGGTTTAGGGTTTTCTGGGTGTATAGTGTAGGGAGTTCGTAGAAAGAGCGAGAGAGAGGGAGAGAGAGAGAGAGAGAGAGCGAGAGGAAGAGAGACAGAGAGAGGGAGAGAGCGTGAGCGAACAAAACAAAAACACAAAACGCCAAACCCTCAAAACCTGAAGCCAACTTGTTGAAATTTCGGATGCTGCCTTGACCCACGTTCCTAATCTGTCCCATGAGGGGTTTGGGGTCTGGCCTTGGGGGTTTTACAATTATGGGGTCTAGGGCCTAAGACCCCAAACAGAACCGTCAGCTTCAAGAAAAAAGAGCCTGGGACCCCCCCCCCCCTACAGCGCCTTCCTTAAACCCTAATGAACCCGCCCCCCCCCCCCCCCCCATGCTAGCCTGGGTTCCCAGGATCACCCGAGGTCTCGCCAGGGCGGCCCCACTCCAGGAGGCTGCTCTGCGGCCTCTTCAGCTGCCTCGGAGCTCCACGTCATGCCACAGGATCCGAAGACCCTAAACCCTATAAACCCTGAACCCTGAACCCTGAACCCTAAACCCTAAACCCTAAACCCTAAACCCTAAACCCTAAACCCTAAACCCCGACCTCGGCTCTTCTGCAGATTGTGTGTGCAAGCTCTCAGCCATATGGTATAGGTTCCTTCGACTCGAGATTTTCTGGGGTGCACCGGGCAAACGTCGCGCTGCCCCAAAAGGGACCACATTTCGCAGAGCTGGCCATACTCCTTCCGAAGCGTCTCCAGGCTGAGGGCTTACCGAGTTTAAGGGTTCTGGGGTTCTCCGCAAGTGCTACCCCAGTCATGGCTCCCTAACAAAACTTTCAACTGCCCAAGCAGCGCCGACTGAGAGTGGAAGGAGAAAGCGGCCTGTGCCCATGATCACATTGACAAACGGGGGGGGGGGGGGGGGGGGGGTTAGCTCATTTTGCCCTTCTGGGGGGGAATTACCCAAAATAAGGAGTACTCTTGCATGGACCCCCCCCCAAAAAAACAATAGAAATAATAATAAATACAAGACCGTAGTTCCGAACCACCCCCAATGTTTACCACCTTCCGTCCTTCATTTATTTCATCTCAGAGCCTGTCTGTGAACCTCGATGGGCTGCAGGGCGCCAGATGACCAAAACTTGCATCAACCCTACAGTATCCCCTACTTTGAACTGAGCAAGAGCCTGTGCGCCAAGAAAGATACATGGACCACTTTTCCCACTAAATCCTGCACCACAAACCGTAATCCACAGAAGGCCCTCAAACCCCTCGAATCCGGAGCCCTGAATATACCAAGTGCCTGCAGCACGATCCCCGCAACGCGTGCGCCCGTTGCAGCGGACTCCACGAAAACGCAGGGGCTGCCTAGGGTCATCCATTATGAAGCTCGGTCCCCAGTGCCCGTTTGGGAAGAAAAAAGAAACGGACTATGTACCTTTCTATGTCAATGGTGCTTAGAGGGAACCTATATGAACCTATAGCCCAAAAAGAAGAATGACGGAACTTCTGGGCATCCTAGTCCAAGCAAAGCCTATTTCCGTCCAAGGCAGTGGTAAAATGATGCCCTCTCGCCAGTATCAAAGCTCGCCAAAAATATCTAGGTATACTGAGTAGCCTGACATATACATGTAAAATGCAAAGTACAAAACATGCGAATACACTGCATATATGTGTGTATGTGTATGTATATATACATATGCCATATATATATATATACATATTCTGTGTACTTTTTTATATCATACACAATGTCTGGGGCAACAATCTTGACGCTGCCGAGTTGAAGGTTCTCCGGAGAGTCTTGCAGTGTGCAACCGCGAGCTGCGCTCATTGACACGGGATACAGAAAGACTCTGCAGCTGCGGGCTCCCAACACACAACCTCACACAACAAGCTTAGGGTTTTGGGCCTTTAAGGTTTAGGGTTACCTCACAAACAGCATGTTCGTTGGGCAGCACCTCTTACCAAGCAGAGGTGCCATCGTTGGGAGCGACCAGCGTCGCCATGCCAATTCCCAAGAGCACCTGCATCGCAGCTTCTTTGCAAGGAGCTGCAAGGGGCTGCTGGTAGTGTAGAAGCAGATGAGTTGAAGGGATGTTGGGTTCAGGGTTGCAACATGAAGCAGCTTGAGCATTGGAGGGAGAGGGCTCTGGATGCCTGGACTCAAGTCAGGTGTTGGAGGTGGAACAATGAGATAAATCTTGGCCACTCTTTTGTGCTGCTGAAGCTTCGAACCTGGCGCAGCCCTCGACACTCTGGCATGCCGAAGGAGACTGACATGGTGCGGTGGCATCATCTCATACGAAACTAACCCGGCCTGGTCCTTGAAGGAGAGGGTGAGGGGAGCGCTGAGGTGGTAGATTCCTTCATTTTATGAGTAGAGCAGCGGAAGCTCTGAGGCTTCCAGGAGGGTTTCATCATCTGTGGGTCAGAGTCGCTATCTCAGCTTTAAGAGGGTTCTGGCAGCATGCCGGTATATCCGTACATCCGACTGCGTCTCGGCACATTCTGGAACATCCATTGGTGCGGGCCATGAGAAGGAAGGTTGATTGGAACAAGAACTTTGGCATCCCAAGAAAAATTGGCTTCAGGGGTTTTAGGGCTTAGGGTATGAGGGTTGAGGGTTAAGGGTTAAGGGTTTAGGGTGGAGCCCCTCACCCAAGAAGCCGTAGCCTTCCCAAGCTTGTGTGGGAGACAGAGCTCCTGTAGCCGAGATCTGCCAAAAGCATCCCAATCTGTTTCAACCACCAGCTTCCTCCGCCCCGCCCCAAAGCAAGCTTTAAGTAGATTCGTTCGTCTCCTAGAACTCCTAGAACCTGAAGCCAAAAGGCCTGAGCCTTGCGTCCTGAAACCCTGTAGGGCTGAGGGTTAGGGCTTGGACAGCTTAGGGTTTTGCATTCCCCGAACACCCTCGACAAGGGTCCAGGTGAGAGTAGCACATGGAGCCCAGTGTTCAGCTTCGCCTGGATTGCCGAGCTGGTGTCTTCGGCCCTTGGGACGGAACGCAGGCGCTTCGGGCTTCTTTCCCATGCGGATTCAGGGAGTCCCGCTGCCTCTACTGCCTTACACACTACTATATATTACACTAAGATATCATATCTTGTTGAACCCCTTGCGGCTATTGAATGTTTTTAGCAATTAGTCAGGGCTAAGGGCTCAGGGCATCCCTTGTAAGGGGTTCGAGGATTTCTGAAAGCTGCATCTTTTCACAGCACTAGACTCTAAACCCTAAACCCCCTTGTGGCCCTTGTACCTCGACTGAACCCACTGCTTCCTGCGTCAGAGTCACCGAGCTACGAAGACCTGGAACTTGGGTTTGTTGGTGGGTTTAGGGTTTAGGGTTCGGACAACGTACTACTTACAGCATGTGTGCATCATCATATCTACATACCGATACTATGACAACTTGTCCAGCAACTGAGTCTTTGTCGAGGTCTCTCATGCTGATAGAGTGCCCTGCAAGCCTCAGCTACCAGCACTGGGCTGTAGGGGTTAGGGTTTTGAAGTTTGGGGGCTTGGCGGAAGGCGCCTGCTCGAAAGGAACCGATGTGGTCGCTTCCACCGCTGGTCCCACAGAGCCTGAGCCCGATCTAAGCCCTAAGTCATGGCCTGCAGTACTGTAGAGTTAGCCTGGTTAAAGCCAGTGCTTTGGAGCTCAAGTTGTGGTCCAAGGCTTGCTTTTGCAATGACTGGCATGAGGTTTTTTTTTTTTTTTTTGGGGGGGGGGGGGGGGGGGGGGGGGGGAACGTCACACAGACCTTCAAAACTTGCGAGCTCTGTCATGACACACTCGCCCATTCCCTGGACCCCCGACAACCCGCAATCCTGAACAATCCCACCCGTACTGTATGCCAAGCCCCAGTTCCGCGTATGAGCTCAAGCCATGCCATTCCAAAACGCACTCTAGCCTAAACACACACACACACACACACACACCCACACACCCACACACCCACACACCCACACACCCACACCCACACGCACACGCACACGCACACGCACACGCACACGCACACGCACACGCACACAGACAGAGAGTCCCCAAATCCCCCAGATGTAGCTCTTGCCTCCCCGGAACCTAACCGCTGAACTTAAGCCCCTTAAAGCCCTACAAAATCTATTCAACCCCCCTCAACCCTTCAACCCCTAAACACCTAAACCCTTGGAACCCTCTAAACACACCCTTTACACCCCTCCCAGACCTCGAACTTCCTCGAACCCTCCAAAAACAAGAAGCTTTCAAGCCCGAAACCGCTTGAGCCCGAGCCCTCTACACATCTCAAATCCCCCCTAGGCCCGTTCAACCCTTTGAACCCCTCAACCTCTTAAGGCCACTCTTGCAAGCCTTTAAAACCCTTTAAGGCCCTTAGAGCCCTTGAAGCCCTTTGAAACCTCCAAAGCCCTTAAAACCAGTTCTCAAGCCGTTGATCCCTAAACTCGCCACGTTGCGGAATTTCGGCTTGGGAACCTGCAGGGAGTAGCGGCCGAGCGCGTCCTGGGGCTTGGGGGCAAGTAGGTTGTTTGGGCTCCTTGGGGGATTTTGGGGGGGTTTTGAGAGGCTTTGAGGGGTTTTTGAGGGGATGGAGTTACTTGTAGGGCTTGCGGGCCTTGGTGTTTTGGGGTTTAGGCGGTTGGGGATTCGAGTTTGGGGTTGTTGTGGCAGGGTTCTACCAAACGGGCAACTGAGCAAAAAAGCTAGTCGTGCAGACAAAGTGGCAATGGTGATATAGGGCTTCTCGGCCACAACCGGGGTCAATGCAACCTGGACGATTGTTGCACTTGCAACGTATGAATGGCCATGATCAAACAACTACTCATATTGGTTGCCAGTTGTTCGTTATTAGTGGCTGGATGTTACTTGTTGTTGGGTATTGGCTGCTATTGTTACCTATGATCGATTGTTGTGTTTACTTGCGACTCGTCTTCGTTCTTAATCTGTATTTCACTGGTCAAGAAGTCTCGGCAGTGCCATGACCATTTCAAGCTCTGGCCAGACTCACGCCAGAAGCAACTTAGGCTAACGACGCTTCCCGCAACTGGCAGCTCACTGCTTTTTGCGGTTTAGGGATAAGGTTTTAAGAGTTCAAGTGGTGTGTTCCGTGAACGGACGGCAGGATCAGCAGAGTGAGCAGACTCCCAGAACAGCCTTGAAATGTTTTGAACGGAAGGCATCCGGTCTTGGTGCTTTTCTGCCAGTTGATAAAGTTGGTATCTTGCGCATTCTCAAAACGTCTGCGCCGCCAAAAAGGGTGCCCCTAAGAAAGCCCGTTTGCAACAGAAAACCCTACACCCCCTTTAACTTGGGAAAGCAAGCCAAAGCCAAGCGCATTCGGAAGCACATTCGTCAGCGCGATCTTCGAACCATCGGCGGGCAGGGTCTCGCGGGGGCCGCCTCGATCGGGTGGTGGGGGGTGGGAGGGGCGCAGCTGGGGGATTAGGATTTAGGATTTAGGATTTAGGATTCAGGATTTAGGATTTAGGATTCAGGATTTAGGATTTAGGGTGCTAAGTGTTTAGGGTTTAGGTTTACAGTTTAGGTTTGGGGTTTCGACGGTCTGGGCTGCTTAGGCTTAACACGAAATGCAGGGCGAGGAGCACGGGGCTCAACCGCTGTAGGTAGGACGCCAACAGCTGAAAGCCTCAGAAACCCGAAATCCCTGGGTCTCGAAGACCCTACCCAAAAAAAGCTAGAACCCCAGAATCTCAAACCCAAGACCTCTAAGCCCTGTAGGTCCTTAAACCCCAAAACTCCCTCAAAGCACAAAGGTTGGCAGTGGAGGCCACCAAGATGCCTGTGCACCCGACCAGGACCAGGTTCCATTGCCCACCCAAATCGGCAGCATCCGGCGTGGAGATGTTGGAATTTCGGATCATCCACTGCTGCCTGGTCTCGCGATCATTCAACAGCGACTCAGGAGCGACTCAGCAGAGTGAGGATCGAGCAAGAGGCGGCAGCGAGAAGCGAGAATCAAAAAAGAAAGAACATCCTAAACCCCAAAACCCCGAAATCCTGAACCCAGAAATCTCCCGTAACCCTATAAATTACCCGTGACTCCGGTTTCGCGTAGAGTCGGCTTCAGATTCTATGTAGGGTTTGTTGCCTTTGGGCTGTCATGCCTCCCCAAAAGGGGGGTTTAGGGTTGAGTGTCTTTGTGGGGTGGATTTGACATTATATAGAGGGCGGGGCTGCGGAGTAGGGGAGGCTTCACGTTCAAGACGCGCTCAATCCAACAAGCTGCTGACCACCCATCTTCGTCATGCCGCCCACCTGAGGTCACAGGGTTTAGGGTCTTGCCTGCGCTGCTTCGAAAGCGACTGCGTACGATTTGGAGCGCAGGGCTTCGGGGGGCCCATCGCACACGGCATTCCATCAGATCTGCTGACATTTCGAGCCACCGAATCCGGAAAAACAGTTCGCCCGAAGTCGCAAAGACAGGTCATCGCTGGCAAACACTCAAGGGGGTAAAAAGCCTAAACCTGCAGCAAAGCCCACCTGGATGTCGGCCATGTAGCCTGCGCTAAGAAACAGATGAACCAAAACCTGAAGATTCATAGTAGCAACAATAGCAGCAAAAGCAACACAAGCAGCCATAATCTTACGATAATAACAGCAGTAGCAGTCGTAGCAGTCGTCGTCGTCGTCGTCGTCGTCGTCGTCGTCGTCATGGTCGTCGACGGCGTCGTGGTCATCGTGGTCGTGGTCGTCGTGGTCGTCGTGGTCGTCGTGGTAGTAGTGGTGGTAGTAGTAGTAGTAGTAGCAGTAGCAATAGCAGTAGCAGTAGTAGTAGTAGTAGTAGTAGTAGTAGTAGTAGTAGTAGTAGTAGTAGTAGTAGTAGTAGTAGTAGTAGTAGTAGTAGTAGTAGTAGTGTGTAGTAGTAGTAGTAGTAGTAGTAGTGTGTAGTAGTAGTAGTAGTAGTAGTAGTAGTAGTAGTAGTAGTAGTAGTAGTAGTAGTAGTAGTAGTAGTAGTAGTAGTAGTAGTAGTAGTAGTAGTAGTAGTAGTAGTAGTAGTAGTAGTAGTAGTAGCAATTGTAGTAGCAGTAGTCGTCGTCGTGGTACTACTACTACTACTACTACTACTACTACTACTACTACTACTACTACTACTACTACTACTACTACTACTACTACTACCACTACTGCTACTACTACTACTACTCCTACTACTCCTACTACTCCTACTACTCCTACTACTCCTACTACTACTACAACTACTACTACTACTACTACTACCACTACTGCTACTACTACTACTACTCCTACTACTCCTACTACTCCTACTACTCCTACTACTCCTACTACTCCTACTACTCCTACTACTCCTACTACTACTAGAACAACTACTACTACTACTACTACTACTACTACTACTACTACTACTACTACTACTACTACTACTACTACTACTACTACTAATACTACTACTACTACTACTACTACTACTACTACTACTACTACTACTACTACTACTACTACTACTACTACTACTACTACTACTACTACTACTACTACTACTACTACTTACTACTACTACTTACTACTACTACTACTTACTACTACTACTTCCTACTACTACTTACTACTACTACTTACTACTACTACTTACTACTACTACTTACTACTACTACTTACTACTACTACTTACTACTACTACTTACTACTACTACTTACTACTACTACTTACTACTACTACTTACTACTACTACTACTTACTACTGCTACTAGTTACTACTACTACTACTACGACGACGACTACTACTACTACTACTACTACTACTACTACTACTACTACTACTACTACTACTACTACTACTACTACTACTACTACTACTACTACTACTACTACTACTACTACTACTACTACTACTACTACTACTACTACTACTACTACTTACTACTACTTACTACTACTACTACTACTACTACTACTACTACTACTACTACTACTACTACTACTACTACTACTACTACTACTACTACTACTACTACTACTATTTCTAGTGGTAGCAGTAATTGTAGTTGCTGTGGTGCTAATGATGGCAAAACCAGCAGCAAGCGAAACCTTCCCCCCCTTTTCAAGCTCGGATGCCCAACCTGCGAACTCTGGAGCCTCCCCCCCCCCCTCACGTGGGTTTTGTTCAAGGGCTTCTCGAAGGCACCTGCAATAACCCTAACCCTAGTTCTGGTTTCAGGTTTAGGGTATTTAGGTTTGCACTTAGCACCTGTCGGGTTTGGGTTTGACCCTAAACCATATACACCTTAAACCCTCAACCTACAACCCGAAACCCCCCCCCCCCGGAAAACTGCGCGACGGGACACCTCCACTGGCCCAGGCACCCTTCCTGGAGAGCTCCAGGTCCCTGGAGGGAGCATGGAATCGGATTTAGGGTTCATGGGAACTGTAGGGCAGGCATATAATAAGGTAGGATAGGGCTTCAAGGGTTGACAGCTTCAGGCCTATTGAACTAGACTCCGTATTTCGGGTAGCTGTTCTTGGCTGTAAATTCGGGACTGCATTGGTAAATGTTAGGCCCCTCCATGACATTCAGAACCCAAGACGCTAGGGTTTGACTTTGCGAGGTCCTGAGAGTCCCATAAAATACAGGTTCCCACAAGGGCAGGCTTGAGAGGAGAGGCCGATGAAGACAAGACGGGCTCTAGGGGAGTTTAGAGGTTCAGGACCTTAGGGCAAGCTCATGACCACAAAGCTGCCCCTGAACCTTCAACGGCGTCCGCATGGGGGTTTCCGAAAGTAGGCCTATCCGCTTGGGGGCTTCCGGTAAAAAGGGCTTATACTATTTTGGAGCATGTTGAGGGGACCCTGTTTTGGGACCCACATGGGCAAGCTGCTTGTCGACACGAATGCGTCGGATGGGCGATGCCTGTGACACTGCCCAGAGCCTGAGACATAGGGTTTAGGGTTTAGGGTTTAGGGTTGAGGGTTTAGGGTTTAGGGTTTAGGGTTTAGGGCTTGGGGTTCTGGGCTTTGGGGGTCGGAATGGGCCGGAGCAGGGTTCGGGCCAACATGACTTTGCATCCGAAACAAAGGCCAAGTACTTAAGGCGCACAAGGCTTTTGCCAGCAGAGCCGCAGCAAGCGACAGAGTAAGTGGTGCGGAGTAGATGGTGCAGACAAGCTTTCGGGAGCAAGTGTCAAAAATATGTGCCGATACTATATATATATACACATACATATACATATACATATATATATATATGTATACGTATATATCCCAGGCAGGCCAGGCACATGCCCCACGGAGAGGCATGGCGGAAATTCTCCGCACTACGCCTGGGACAGGGGAATCGCGTTCATAGGCTTCAGCGTCAGAGGGTTTTGGGTTCAGGGGGTTTGGTGTAAGGGGTCTGGGGGTTTAGCAGGTTCAACGTCTAAGGGCCCCCAATCCGAAGCCCTAAGTTACCTAAGCCCTGAACTCCTGGCCTTTGTAGCGGAGATACATCGGGACGAACCCCTGAACCCGAATCCCCAACCAAGGGCGGAAAGGTGTCTAAGGAGGCTGTGCAGTCATATTTAGGATCTAGCATTTTGTAGTTTGTGTTTGCTCTTCGGCATTTAGAGGTTGTTGGAAGTGCCGGTCTCTGAAAGCTCTGCTGGACCCTACTGGGCTTGCCGAAATCTCAAAAAGGAAGTGAAACACATCCTGGCTGGAATCGTACATGAACCAAAACGTGTCAAGACGTAGTCTCTTGCCTGCTTTCGATTTCAGTCAGTCGGGTGGGACGCCACTTCATGCGAAGGAGAGTGATCACTGCGCCCTGAACCCGACAAACCTAACACCCTGAACCATAGAATGCTCGAACCCTTAAAGCCACACACCCAAAAACCGTTCCCCTACAATGTCTCTTGCCTGCTTTCGATTTCAGTCAGTCGGGTGGGACGCCACTTCATGCGAAGGAGAGTGATCACTGCGCCCTGAACCCGACAAACCTAACACCCTGAACCATAGAATGCTCGAACCCTTAAAGCCACACACCCAAAAACCGTTCCCCTACAATGCTCGAACCCTAAAAGCCTAGCAACCTAAACCCTAAACCCTAAACCCCAAACCCTAAACCCTAAACCCCTGAGACAACCCTTGGACTTCTGAGGTTCTTGACTGCCGCGCTGCCAGAAGTTGTCCAGGGACCCTGGATCTGGGATGGCGCCCATGGGCTCGGAGTAGACCCCCCACCTGAGACCAAATAAAAGGGGGGGCGCAGGGAACAGTGATCCCAAAGATTGTGTAGGGTTTGGGCTTTAGGGTTTGGGCTTGCTTGGGGTTTAGGGTTTAGGGTTTACGGTGCAGGGTCTAACTTCGGGTTTAGGGTTTAGGGTTTTAGGTTTCGGGTTCAGTGGAGGTCTGGGCCCGCAGCTCAGTTGACTCAGGGTTCCGGAGCGCTGCACCCCCTTGCGAAAGGCCGCAGCCCTACTTGTGAGCCCTGAGGCAGAGGGATCCCCCCTCAAAAATGAATCGTGTGAGCCGGCACAAAAAATCTGGAAGGCTTGGGATGGTGAGAACATGGGGGCGACTGGGGAGAGAAGCAGGGGGTTGAAGCAGGCCTAGAATTCACAACCGTTTCAGGGGTCAGGGCAGGGTTCGCCGGGTCTACGCACCATGTGTAACCGTCCGAGGCCCGGACGCGCTAGCGAACTCCACGTCCTCACCAGGCTTTATGTTTTATGGGACTTCTAGGCTTTATAGGGCTTGCACGGGCTTTCCGGGTTTAGGGGAATTTGAACCGAGGGCGCCACCCTGAAACTTAAGCCAAAAAAAGGCTTACGCACAGACCCGGAACAATCCAGATCCTCCAAGCCCAAACTACTTTAAACACCCTACGCTGCAAAGCCTTGAGGTTGGACACCCAAAGCCTGTCTCCTATATGGCCATGCTTCTCCGAGCCTCACCCATAATCACAGGGGTTTGACCTAACATGTAACATGTGCCCTCTTGGGCTTGATAAAAAAGAGACCCCGGAAGGGTTTAGGGTTTAGGGCTCTACCGCCCTAAGCCCCAAGCCCCAAACCCTACAAACCCTAAACCCCGGTCCTCGGGCCGCTCGCCGAGGCCCAGGACCTCTTGGCAAGTTCGGGCGTGGCTCTCATCAAGGCGTTTGGGGCTTAAGATTCCAATTTGGGGGTGCTTAGGAGTCTGCGCTTCCTAAGCCCTGAGACCCCAAATCTGAAGCAACTGTAGCTTTCATAGCATCCCCAAGTAGTTTCCACACGAGAAAGCAAAATGAAGCTTTAAACCACATATGAATATTCATATATGCATATGCATATAATACATATATATATATATGGATATATACCATGCCCAACTAAACGTCACTAGGCTTGGGCTTGCTGGCTGCAGGTGAGTGGTAGGAGGAGCTTCTACTATCACCTCTACTGGTATAATTAACTTCCTTCTAGTACCATAGGAAACCCTGAAACTCTGAAACTTTAAACGGTCTCGGGGGCGAACATGAGAGCAGAGTGCAAGGGTCCATGCTCAACCCCAAGGTCGTAACTTTGCTTTGGAGTTTAGGGTTTAGGGTTTAGGGTTTAGGGTTTAGGGTTTAGGGTTTAGGGTTTAGGGTTTAGGGTTTAGGGTTTAGGGTTTAGGGTTTAGGGTTTAGGGTCTAGGGTTTAGGGTTTAGGGTTTACGGTTTCAGGTTTAGGGTTAGGGGCTAGTGCTCAACTGAAGGCTGTGAAGCAGCTTCTAGCCCCCCTCGAAGAGCAACTTCCCTGTGCCTGGACGTAGTAGCCCACTTTGATCTCTGCGTCCTTGGCGGCCAAGGCTCCGACAGAAAGCAAGCCCTCTGAGCAACCCCCCATGAAGAGCGCGTGCCGAGCTAATCTGCTCTCATGTTTCATGCGTGTGCAGAGTCCGAGGTTTGACTTCAGGCTTGTGGGCTGTAAATATCAAGAATATACTGCTGTTGACATGGTTGACATGTGCAAACTAGCGAATACACAGCGACTTATGAAAGAACACCTGGAAAGCCGAACGCGCACATAAACGGGACGCATGTCAACGGAAGCAGAGGTTGCAAGGGAAGGAAAAAATAGGGGCCTTAACGATTAGAAGACTTGTAAGGGGACCGCAAGGGAATATTATTGGAACTTATTCCGACCCCTATATGAAGCTCAAGGGTGCTCCTGTCAACAGCCCCTGCGCCACGCGGCATACTTGCCAGGCTTGAAGAGGAGCGCCTTCCTGTCGGAGCTGTAGTGGCCGGTGGTCACCTGGGCATTCCCCAACCCCCAGAAGCCAATCCGATTATTGTACGATTCAGCTGCCCTGAATCTAGGGGGGGACATATTCATATTCATACGAAAGAAGTCACGTATAAATCTCTCTAGATGTATATTCTAGATGTATACATCCTACACCCGAAACCTTACTCCCTGTAGCGAACCTCAAGCATCAACGTCGTGCAGTCTCAGGCGCATTGTTGAGCTCTGAAAGAAGAGCTGCGATCCGTGCTGTCAAGTTGCCCACGTCGTCCTGCAGAGTTGTATTCCATCTAAATATGAGGCTCAAAGCCACCCCCCCAATCCACGACTCTACTTATCATCAAGCCGCCCCCAATGCCCAGTTCTACTTATAGAAGGGTTTCAAGCCAAGCCACCCCAATCCCCGATTCTACTCCTACGATCCATTAATAGCGCGACATCCTGAAGCCCTACGTTCCGTTAACCATTAACCCGAACACCAAGCCCTCTCAACCGCAAACACTGAACAAGTCCGGGCCCCTGGAACGATCTGCATGGGAGGTTCCGAAAATCAGGGGCACGTACCCTTTGGAAGCTTCCTTGAAGGAAACCCTAAACCCTAAACCCTAAACCCTAAACCCTAAACCCTAAACCCTAAACCCTAAACCCTAAACCCCAAGGCCTAAACCCCCAACCACCTCTTTGGGTGTATAGGGTGGCCATGACTTTCGGGGGGAAAAAAGGCCCCCGAACCTCGGGGCCAAGAACGGTGACCTGGGCATGGTCTGGGTTGCTGTTTAAGGTACCATCGAGCCCAGATTCTTCAGGGGCTCAAGAGGGTTGGGCTTGGGGGTTTCTGGGGGTTTAGGGTTTAGGATTTGGGGTTTAGGGTTTAGGATCTTCAGGATCTGGTGCTCCGGGGCTCAGGGCTTGGGAGGCTCAAGAGGGTTGGGCTTGGGCGGATTTGGGGGTTTAGGGTTTAGGATTTGGGGTTTTGGGGTTTAGGATATAGGGTTTAGGGGCTTAGGATTTCGGGTTAGGGCCCCTAGGGTGCGGGGGTCCTCTGAGGGTTGCTAGGTTGAGTCCTGGTGATCAGGATCATCATCTCCAGGTTGCAGGGATTTTGGTTTAGGGCCGAGGGTTTGGGGTGAATTCCTGGAACCCCATCCCCGAAACTCTATCCCTGGAACCCTGTGAAACCCTATGGAACCTTGCAAGCCCCCCCCCCCCCACTGAGACGCCGGGCACTGCTGGGCCAGCTTGGCGGGTTCGGCTCAGGAGGCGGCAGCGGCGCGGTGGCGGAACTGGCTTAAGGGCTGAGGGCTTTTAAGGACTTTTAAGGGTTTTTAAGGGCTTTTAAGGGCTTTTAAGGGCTTTTAAGGGCTTTTAAGGGCTTTTAAGGGCTTTAAGGGTTTATAAGGGCGATTAAGGGTTTATAAGGGTTTGAGGGCTTTATGGGTGTACAAGGGCTGTTCAGCGCGCTTAAGGGCTTTTGAAGGGCTTGCAAGAGGTTGATTTGGGGGGTTTAGTGGTTTGGGTTTAGGGATTGTAGGGGTTGTAGGGGTTTAGGGGTTTGGGGGTGTCAGGGGTTTGGGCGTTAGGGCTTAGATTCGAGTTTAGGGGTTTAAGGGAGTTGGCTTAGGGGTTTAGGGTTTAAGAGCTTTTGCGTGCGCTGATCGACTTTCATGATATTGGCTTTTCGGGATCAGCAAAGGCCTTGTTTTCACCCTGTGGCTTTGGGTTCTTGCGGCTTGAAGCCAGACCTTCTGTAGCTTTGGCGGAGTATTTTGGCAAGTGCGGACTCCCAACTCCTAAGCAGAGAGCCTAAGGCCTGCGGTGCTACTAGCAGGATGCCCAGAACAAGTAGCGACACGTGCCATCACGACACCAACCTCACTTCAACTTGAACCTAGACACGTTTTACACTCACTTAGTACAAGACACTTGCTCCGAATCGCGGCCCCCGGGACCTTGAGCCCTAAACGAAACCCTGTCCAGCAATCAGCTGACGAGTAGCAGGCACGCCAGGAGCCATAAACCTCAAAACGGGCTCCGGGGGCGTAATCTTGGAGCATCTAACTACCCCAAACCTGTGTAGGATTAAGTGCTTCTATGGGTTCTATGCAGGATGAAGCGAACCTCAGATGGAGACCATGAGTCCTGAAAAATGCAACCTGCGTCGAATTCTACAGGGGCTGGGCTGTGATCCCTTGCTTCTCAAAGTGGGACAGGGTTTGCAGTTAAACAGTTAGGGGCGTTTTGCTTCAGGGCCAAGCAGAACCAATGATTTCGAGTTGGGTCCCCAAGCTCGGGATCGATTGCAACCTTGGCTCCACATGAGGGCCTAGGGGTATAGCATATGTTGATCCGTGTGACTGGCATGATGCCCGTGCTGCCTATAGACCTCAAGACCGGCAATAGAACAAGAGCACCTTCAGGATTCATGATTCACAGTCCTGTAGGCATCTCTAAGCTGCGCGCCCAGGAGAATCTGTTGCGACATGGCGCTTCAGGCGCCAGGCGCTCGGAGCTCTAGCCTCGCCTAGAGCTTGCTCGTGTGGTAAGGTCGAACTTGCAGAGGTGGGTGCCAACGAAGATTTCTGCAAGCTTCGTCTCAGGCAACACAGTGCTCTGGAAGGGTTGGGTCTGAGATGACTTCATGGCCGAACTCTTGAACGATGCGTTCTCTGACCTGTGCCGTTGGCTTTGGGCGGCCTGATATAGGAGCCTGGTCTATTTATGACGGGAGAATTCTGGGTAGTTTACATTGTGCGGTTGTCGCGATGCGAGGTGGCTTCTCTGGGTACTCCTTGCGGCCCCTGTACTATGCAAATGGAAGCTGGCGAAGCGGCAGATGAATGGCAGCGGAGAATCCCACACTTGAAGTCCAGCCCCTCCATAGGGTATAATGTATAGGGACCATAAGGGCTACCATTAGTAATTATTCCGACCCTAAAGTACACGCCCAACTATGAGGGACATTTAACCAGTGTAGTGGCTGCATACTTCGTTGGGTTCGGTTGTATATAGGAGGGTCAACACTAACAGCAAAATCTTGAAGCAGCGCACTTCCGGGCGGTCCTCATGACACGCAGCATAAGCCCGCAACCTCGACTTACCCCTGAACCCCCCAAACCCCCTAAACCCCCGCAACCCCCCCAACCCACCCCCTCCCCCCCAAGAGGAAGCGCGTGGATCCTCCTGCAGGTCGTGCTTGGAAAGCATGGAGAGGGCCTCGGCCTCGGCCTGGCGTCGGACGAAGCCGAGGTTGGCAGACCAAACCCTCAGGACGCCTTTTCCTGAAAAAAGGATCCTGAGGGGAATGATGACCAGCTTCCAAGGGCCTGCACTGAAAGCCCTAAGAGAACCACACCAAAACCGCCTTCTGCCCTGAAGCCATCTAAAGCCCCCTTTTCCGGGATATCCCCAAAAGGATCAAAGTCGTCACCCCCCCTCTTTTTTTCGGCCGGTCCCCAAGGTTTGAGGGCACCTCCTGGCCATCGGCAGCGCCGTAGCTTTCGACCTGGCAGGACCCGCAGCAACAAAACGACAATAGCAAAGACAGCTCTTGGGGTTTTAGGGCCGAGGGTTGAAGGAGGCTTTTTGGGGCTTGGAGAGTGATATTTAGGGTTCCAGGGTTTCGGGGTGTGGGGCACAGGGCTTCCTGACTAAACCCTCGACCCTGAGCCCTGAAGCCTCAAAATCCCTGGACCCCATACCTCAGCACTCTGAATCTACACCGCCTTAGACCCTAAAATGCGGCGTCCTAGAAACTTACACTCTGCACACCCTATGCTCCCTATGCGCCCTACTATACAACTTACACATCCTGTACATCCTAACCACTCAAACCGAAACCCTGTTCCTCTGCTCTCAAGGCACTTGTTCGATGGAGCCGCCCTCAAGTCGAAATCCGCGCTTCCCTTGGATGGCCCCTTTCTTTCGCTGTGCAAAAGGAGAAGCTATTCAAAATTGGGGGCCCTCTCTATATGAAATACTGTCAGAACCCTGAACAATCTGAAACCTCAACCACAAACGCGGTAGCTCCCGGCCCGGAGAATGGCACGGAGAGTTGCGCCGGCCTCCCGTCAGAAGCAAGGAACCCTAAACCCTACACCGTAGAGGGTTTAGGGTTTAGGGCTTAGGGCCCTGGTACTTTTGTGAATGCCGACGTGCTTCGGGTTTAGGGTTTAGGGTTTAGGGTTTCGGTTCTGGGGTTCCCACTTAAAGTGACAGAAGGAGTAGGGAACCACCGAAGATATCACGCAGCTGACACGCCGCCTCATCCCTAATCAAACAACACATTATAACAATAGAGGCTTGTTGGTTTGACGTAGGCTTGTGGTTCAATGCTGGTGGCTTAAGGTTTTGGGCCTCGCTCGCTGCCACCACATCCGCGGCCCGCGCCAATGCTCTCTGGATCTGGAAAATTCGGAAGCAATTTCGCCTCAGAACAGCTTTGGGTTTGGCGATAGGCACAGCAGTGGCACAGCAGGGGGCTAGAAGAAGAACATGCTGACAGCCACTGCATTTACTTCACAGCTCGGACGGGGCAAAGCTGAAGCGACAAGTCCACACCGAATCCCACTCGCCTCCCACACACACATACACACATCTGGCTGCGTAGGTCAGATGCAACACCTACCGCTTTGAAAGCCCTCGCAAGATTTCTAAGGGACAACATTGAACATGCTTTCGGCTCCTGCATTACGCCCCGACGCTCAGCACCCGGGCCCAACGTTGTTCGTCGGGTTGACAGGGTCCTCCACCTCGGCAGCGCTCGGGCGGCGAGGGAGGGGTTCTCACTAGGGCTTCGGAGGCTCCGGGCGGCTTGGCATCGTTCCGTGTTGCTCGGCGAGAGTCTAGGGTGTAGATGGGGTTTGGCGCTACTTAAGAGGCATCACTGTCCCAAAGCTTCGCTTCTCCTGAAGGCCCTCCCCAGGAGCACCGTCGAAGTCTAGCTGCAATACGAGTACAAGCGGGCCCAACAACGTAGGAATCAAAAAAGGGTCTCCCTTGGTGGGATATTATAACAGGGACCTGACCTCTTAAAAAAAGGAATCGGGAATCCTCAAACCTTAAACCCTAAACCCTACAATCCCAGATCCATTCGGCTTGCCAACTGAGGCTGCTTAGACTCCTTTACGCAGGTGTCGATGAGGTGCCGGCCCAGAGGGGGTCAAAGCGATGCGCCTCCTCCCCGCAGATTTCTTTGCCTGTCTAAGCTCTTAAGGCCTTTAGGAGCTTCAGGGTTGGGGCTGTAGGGTGGAACTTCAGAACCCCGCCACCCACTTGTGCATGCACATGTACATGTCTACAGTATAGCCCTTAACCTCAGACCCTAAACCCCAAAACCCTAAATCCCAAGCTCTGAAGCCCTGCCTGCTGGCTCCCTGGTGGGGTGGAGGAGACCTCGCTCCACTAGCTCGGCCTGTGGGTCGGCTTCAGGGGTTTAGGAGTTTAGGGTTTATGGTTTAGACAGTTCTTTTGGGAGTTCAAGTATTAGGGTTCCAGGGCTTAGGGGGCTCCAGAATTTCAGGGTCTTGGTCTAGCATGTGGGGCTTCTGGTATGAAACGGAAGGACCTTAAGGGTGAGGGGCCCCACACTCCAAAAACCAAGCCAGAGACACGGAAGGGCCACAATCCAATCCTGCATCGTTGCCCTGCCCCCTGCACCTGTTCTGGAGGCCAGGTGGTCGGGCTCTTCCTTCGGGTTTTAGGTTTTGGGCTTTTGGGGCTTTGAGTGTTGGGCTCGGAAAGTTGCTGTAAGAGGCACCCGGCTGGAAGAAAAACACCTAGACCGGGGATCGCTATTCCAGGGGTTGATCCAAATCACACGAACCCCCCGCCCCCTATCTATATCCGCACACAGTGCGGTGCTTGGAAAAAAGATGCCCATAACTTGGACCTCACCCCATTTTCTTGGACTAACAGCACGTTGTGGGGTCCCGTAGGACAACTTAGGACTGGGGCTTAAGTAGGGTTCGGCTGCCTGGTTCAGGGCTTTTGGGGCCGCTTGAATCCCTTAGGGTTCCCGAAAGGCATCCAGCGGTCCTCTTGAGAAAGGCCGCACGGGCAACGCTGACGCCATAGAGTCTCGGCACGAGTACGTTTGGACTGGGAGACTTCGGAGTTGTGAAAACTTGAAGCACCAGCTGTCAAGGGTTTAAGGGCCTAGGGTGTAAGGGTTCTAGGATGAGACGGTGCAGATCAGTGCCAGAAAACAGACTTGTCACAAGGACCCCTGCGCCCTAGATCCTAGACCCTAAACCATAAACCATGAAACCCTAAACCCTGCCCCGAATGTCAGAAGCCTCCGAAGCAGCGGCATCCAGATTTACGGGCTTTTGGGCTCTCTCCTGCATAGTAGGTTCCATCAAGCTCTAAGAGCACCAAGAAGACGTCTTCTACGCATTCATCTTACCCTAAAACCCGAAACCGTAAACCCCAAACCCGAAACCTTCGCGCCAGGCACCGCACTGAGGGTCGAAGCGATGTCCGTAGAAGTTCAAGAAGCCAACCAGGGCCTCTCCGCATTCGGGGTTCCTAAACCCTAAACCCTAAACCCTAAACCCTAAACCCTAAACCCTAAACCCTAAAGGGGATTCTGGGGCTTTGGGTTGGGGAGTTCGGTCTGAGGGTTTCGGGTACTAGGGCTTAGGAAAAAGAAATTTGGGGATTTGGGTTTAGGGTTTGGGATTTAGCTGGGCTCTGGGGGTCGTGGCCTTCAGGGGCATTAGGCTAGGGTCGAGGTTGGCATCCTCAAAAATCAGACAATCCGGGCTCCAGCTCTGCAAAGAGGTTTTGCTCAACAATGAGGACACGGACCTCTTTTACCAGGCAAACCAAGCGGAAAGGTTTTGCACACAATGGATGCAGTGACAGTTTGTTCTGCTCTCTTCCCCCCTGCGGTTATTGTCAAGAAACACGACAAGCAGAGGCGCGCCCCTCCTCGAAAAACATTAATTTCTTCTTGCCAATCCCCCAGCACTCTGCTTAAAGGATGTCATTCAGACAGCCTCTATGACCTCCAAGCCCTGTATCCCCATGCCGGTGGCTAAGCGTTCTAAGCCTCCATGGCGTTTTGACGCTTTAAGCTTCGGGCCGCTGCCAGGCTGGTGGCCGGAAAGTGCTGCAGCAAAGCGACCACCATCCTCCGAGAGCAGGGGCCGTACGGAGGCAACGCTTCGAAGGCTGGAGCAGGAAAACAACACTGGGACCCCCCGAGCTGCAACGCAAGCCCGTCTGCGCGCGGTCACGTGGCTCTTGACCCGTCGACTCAAACGGAGTATCAGCTGCAGCTTTGCCATAGGACACAAGCACTTTGCGGAGCGCATCTCCAAACGAGGCATCATGACAAGAGCTTCCCGGCAAAAAGGTTGGCTCTAAGCCAAGATGTGCTGGTATCGGTGAATCCTGTTGTTTCGAGGCACGTACTTATGCTTCCAGTCTGCAAGGGCTCCTTTGAGCATGAATTCAAGACATGGCCTCTGTGCTAGGAAAAACTTACACAAACGCCTACACGAATGACTGCAGGAATCTTGTTAGGCTTGCAAAATACATCAGGCACGAGCTGTGTACATTTTTCTCCGTCCTCCTTCATTTCAAACATACTTTGGGCGGGCGTTTGTTCATCCAGCAGCCGTATGTCGTTTAACCTATCAACTCCTTCCGTCATCCGAGCAGCCACTAGAGCGTCGAAGGCTTCGAGCGCTTGGGCTTTTGAGGGCTCTATCCGACGAACCATGCCTGTGGACCCCAGATGACCCCAGGACCGAGGTCCGGACAATAGGAGACCGTAGGAGCAGAGGCCGCCGCTGTGGGACATGGAATACGCCTGCTCCTCACAGACATTGGGGTTGATGAGCTGTTCAAGACTCGCCTTCCCTTATTCGTGGAGATATTGTACGATACTAGTAGCAGAATACAGCACAAGACTGGGGATGTGGCTTTTTGAAATCTCTTGGCGCATGAAGAGACACAGATCAGTACAAAGGGGTACGGCGGGCCGTCTTCACACCTGTCAGCGGCTGTCTCTCTGCATATTCTCGTGTAAAGGCTTACAGCCCGTAGTTGGAAAAAGTGCGCTGTGAGCCTTCAGCACGATTTCCGAGATCAGCCCGCATGCTTTGAGGTGCAAATGTCTCAGTTTCTGTCGCGGCCTACACCAGCATGCATTTTGGCCGTCGCCGATGTTCGGCTGGTGTATCCCCAAAGATGGCGCGCTTCATGTCCAAAGCCTACGTGCGATGTTGCTCTGCTGCTCGCAAGTCGCCCTTCTCCTTGAACAGCAAACCCAGCTTGGCAGAGTAACAGCCACTGCGTGGTTTGGAGCATCCCCGAAGACGGCGCGCTTCATGTCCAAAGCCTCCGTGAGATGTTGCTCCGTTGCTCGCAAGTCGCCATTCTCCTTGAACAACAAGCCCAGCTCATGCAGCGTGGCAGCCACTGCCCGGTTTGGAGTATCCCCGAAGACAGAGCGCTTCATGTCCAAAGCCTCCGTGAGATGTTGCTCCGCTGCTCGCAAGTCGCCCTTCTCCTTGAACAACAAACCCAGCTCATGCAGAGTGACAGCCACAGCCCTGTTTGGAGTTTCCCCGAAGACGGCGCGCTTCATGTCCAAAGCCTCCGTGAGATGTTGCTCCGCTGCTCGCAAGTCGCCGTTTTCCTTAAACAGCAAGCCCAGCTCATGCAGCGTGGCAGCCACTGCCCGGTTTGGAGTATCCCCGAAGACAGAGCGCTTCATGTCCAAAGCCTCCGTGAGATGTTGCTCCGCTGCTCGCAAGTCGCCCTTCTCCTTGAACAACAAACCCAGCTCATGCAGAGTGACAGCCACTTCCTGGCTTAGAGTATCCCCGAAGACGGCGCGCTCCATGTCCAAAGCCTCCGTGAGATGTTGCTCCGCTGCTCGCAAGTCGCCGTTCTCCTTAAACAGCAAGCCCAGCTCATGCAGAGTGACAGCCACAGCCCGGTTTGGAGTTTCCCCGAAGACGGCGCGCTTCATGTCCAAAGCCTCCGTGAGATGTTGCTCCGCTGCTCGCAAGTCGCCGTTCTCCTTGAACAACAAGCCCAGCTCATGCCGCGTGGCAGCCACTGCCCGGTTTGGAGTATCCCCGAAGAGGGCGCGCTCCATGTCCAAAGCCTCCGTGAGATGTTGCTCCGCTGCTCGCAAGTCGCCCTTCTCCTTGAACAACAAACCCAGCTCATGCAGAGTGACAGCCACAGCCCGGTTTGGAGTTTCCCCGAAGACGGCGCGCTTCATGTCCAAAGCCTCTGTGAGATGTTGCTCCGCTGCTCGCAAGTCGCCGTTCTCCTTGAACAACAAGCCCAGCTCATGCCGCGTGGCAGCCACTGCCCCGTTTGGAGTATCCCCGAAGACAGAGCGCTTCATGTCCAAAGCCTCCGTGAGATGTTGCTCCGCTGCTCGCAAGTCGCCCTTCTCCTTGAACAACAAACCCAGCTCATGCAGAGTGACAGCCACTTCCTGGCTTAGAGTATCCCCGAAGACGGCGCGCTCCATGTCCAAAGCCTCCGTGAGATGTTGCTCCGCTGCTCGCAAGTCGCCGTTCTCCTTAAACAGCAAGCCCAGCTCATGCAGAGTGACAGCCACTGCCCGGTTAAAAGTATTCTCGAAGACGGCGCGCTTCATGTCCAAAGCCTCCGTGAGATGTTGCTCCGCTGCTCGCAAGTCGCCCTTCTCCTTGAACAGCTTGCCCAACTCCTGCAGAGTGACAGCCACTGCCCGGTTTGGAATCCCCGAAGCTCCATGTCCCCTCCGTGAGATGAAGTCGGCGCGCTTCATGTCCAAAGCCTCCGTGAGATGTTGATCCGCTGCTCGCAAGTCGCCCCTCTGCTCGTACAGCTTGCCCAACTCCTGCAGAGTGACAGCCACTTCCTGGTTTGGAGTATCCCCGAAGAACGGCGCGCTTCAGGTCCAAAGCCTTGGTGATGTGTTGCTCTGCTGCTCACAAGCCGCCCTTCTCCTTGAACAACAAACCCAGCTCATGCAGAGTGACATCCACTGCCCGGTTAAAAGTATTCCCGAAGACGGCGCGCTTCATGTCCAAAGCCTCCGTGAGATGTTGCTCCGCTGCTCGCAAGTCGCCCCTCTGCTCGTACAGCTTGCCCAACTCCTGCAGAGTGACAGCCACTTCCTGGTTTGGAGTATCCCCGAAGAACGGCGCGCTTCAGGTCCAAAGCCTTGGTGATGTGTTGCTCTGCTGCTCACAAGCCGCCCTTCTCCTTGAACAACAAACCCAGCTCATGCAGAGTGACATCCACTGCCCGGTTAAAAGTATTCCCGAAGACGGCGCGCTTCATGTCCAAAGCCTCCGTGAGATGTTGCTCCGCTGCTCGCAAGTCGCCCCTCTGCTCGTACAGCTTGCCCAACTCCTGCAGAGTGACAGCCACTTCCTGGTTTGGAGTATCCCCGAAGACGGCGCGCTCCATGTCCAAAGCCTCCGTGAGATGTTGCTCCGCTGCTCGCAAGTCGCCCTTCTCCTTGAACAGCAAGCCCAGCTCATGCAGAGTGACAGCCACTGCCCGGTTAAAAGTATTCCCGAAGACGGCGCGCTTCATGTCCAAAGCCTCCGTGAGATGTTGCTCCGCTGCTCGCAAGTCGCCCCTTTGCTTGAACAGCAAGCCCAGCTCATGCAGAGTGACCGCCACTGCCTGGTTTGGAGTATCCCCGAAGACGGCGCGCTTCATGTCCAAAGCCTCCGTGAGATGTTGCTCCGCTACTCGAAAGTCGCCCTTCTCCTTGACAGCTCATGCAGAGTGACCGCCACGTCCTGGTTGGGAGTATCCCCGAAGAGGGCGCGCTCCATGTCCAAAGCCTCCGTGACGTGTTGCTCCGCTGCTCGCAAGTCGCCGTTCTCCTTGAACAGCAAGCCCAGCTCATGCAGAGTGACAGCCACTTCCTGGTTTGGAGTATCCCCGAAGACGCGCGCTCCATGTCCAAAGCCTCCGTGAGATGTTGCTCCGCTGCTCGCAAGTCGCCCTTCTCCTTGAACAGCAAGCCCAGCTCATGCAGAGTGACAGCCACTGCCCGGTTAAAAGTATTCCCGAAGACGGCGCGCTTCATGTCCAAAGCCTCCGTGAGATGTTGCTCCGCTGCTCGCAAGTCGCCCCTTTGCTTGAACAGCAAGCCCAGCTCATGCAGAGTGACCGCCACTGCCTGGTTTGGAGTATCCCCGAAGACGGCGCGCTTCATGTCCAAAGCCTCCGTGAGATGTTGCTCCGCTGCTCGCAAGTCGCCGTTCTCCTTAAACAGCAAGCCCAGCTCATGCAGAGTGACAGCCACTGCCCGGTTAAAAGTATTCCCGAAGACGGCGCGCTTCATGTCCAAAGCCTCCGTGAGATGTTGCTCCGCTGCTCGCAAGTCGCCCTTCTCCTTGAACAGCTTGCCTAACTCCTGCAGAGTGACAGCCACCTGCTGGTTTGGAGTATCCCCGAAGACGGCGCGCTTCATGTCCAAAGCCTCCGTGACGTGTTGCTCCGCTGCTCGCAAGTCGCCCCTTTGCTTGAACAGCAAGCCCAGCTCATGCAGAGTGACAGCCGCTGCCTGGTTTGGAGTATCTCCGAAGACGGCGCGCTCCATGTCCAAAGCCTCCGTGAGATGTTGCTCCGCTGCTCGCAAGTCGCCCTTCTCCTTGAACAGCAAGCCCAGCTCATGCAGAGTGACCGCCACTGCCTGGTTTGGAGTATCCCCGAAGACGGCGCGCTTCATGTCCAAAGCCTCCGTGAGATGTTGCTCCGCTGCTCGCAAGTCGCCCTTCTCCTTGAACAACAAACCCAGCTCATGCAGAGTGACCACCACGTCCTGGTTGGGAGTATCCCCGAAGAGGGCGCGCGCCATGTCCAAAGCCTCCGTGAGATGTTGCTCCGCTGCTCGCAAGTCGCCCCTCTGCTCGAACAGCTTGCCCAACTCCTGCAGAGTGACAGCCACCTGCTGGTTTGGAGTATCCCCGAGACGGCGCGCTTCATGTCCAAAGCCTCCGTGACGTGTTGCTCTGCTGCTCGCAAGTCGCCCTTCTCCTTGAACAGCAAGCCCAGCTCATGCAGAGTGACAGCCACTTCCTGGTTTGGAGTGTCCCCGAAGACGGCGCGCTCCATGTCCAAAGCCTCCGTGAGGTGTTGCTCGGCTGCTCGCAAGTCGCCCTTCTGCTTGAACAGCAAACCCAGCTCATGAAGAAAGACAAAGGCACCGTTCTTCGTGGTTTGCTGTATCGTGCCGTTCAGTAGTTGGGTCTCCAGTGCAGCCGAGGGCTGCCTACCGAGGGAGCGGCAGTGGCGACTCCACTGTAGAAGCCGTAGATCAGAACTTGCAGCCAGGGCTTCGACCTTGCCGATTTTTTCCATGCAGACATCACAGATGTATTTGTGACAGCGAAAGCAACCAAGTCCTTCGTTGGAGAGTCGGCTGCATTGAGCGCACAAAACCTGCGAAGCCAAGGACGAGCCACCAATCTTCTGCACCTCGTGGCCCTTGATGCCCTTGGGGCACAGATTGAAAGTCACTATCGCCTCCAGGTTCTGTGAGCTCTGCACAGAGAAGTCCTCCAGCATCTCCTCATGCACCGGCTCCAGCTCCTCAACCACACCGATGCTGGCCGGCGCTGAAGGAAGTGGCGCATCGAGCCCTTGAGTCCCCTGAGTGCCGGAGGTGCGTGTGGGCTCGGTGATGCTGACAGTAGCGGCTTGCGCACTGCTTATGTTGCTGCCAGCATCCTGCCGCTCGACAGCGGCATCTGCTCGACCCTGCAAAGCGGCTCCGATGTCCGACAGCTCCTGCAGTGGCATGTATGTTTGACAAACTGGTGCTCCTCAGGTTTGTGAACGCAAGCAGTACCGAAACTATTGTCGTCAGTGAGCGTGTATGGCACAGCTCTGACTGACTGCCACCCGGCTCCCGACGCCTCCACAAGCTCTTCATCCAACTCCGCCTTCGCACTCAGCACCGAAAAGGAGTCCAAGCTTGAGGATCTGAGGGGTCCTACTTGTGGGCAGGCCTTGTCCGGACCTGCACCTTGGCCTTCAAACAAAACCCACGCTGCCCGCAGCTTCCAAGATTTCAAGTCTTTTGTGATTATGTGGATTAATATCGGGATCCAGGCATGACCAACCTCAGGAGCACGGAACTCAGGCCTCTTCATCGAGGCCCTCCGCTTGTTGCATGGAGACTGCCTCAGGCGCTTCTGCTTCAAAGACGAAGGGTCCCTTTGGCGCACAGTGGGGTGGAATGCGAGTACATCGAATCTACTTAAATCGGCCCCGATGGGGGGGGGGGGGGGGGGGGTGCAAGCCATGTTCTTGACTGATCTCCTCCCTTCATATCGAATCTTGGGGATCTTGAGGGGCTCACTGTGTGGGTAGACTCGCGAACTCAAGATCCCCCAAGAGCAGATCCCATCCAGAACTTGTTCAGGACTCAGCATAATGGGCATTCTTTTCCCACACCAAAACAGTTGGAAGGGTTCGGCTCCCCCCGCTCACACTATAGCCTCACCGACTGCAGGGGTCTGACCACTGCGTTATTACCCTGAGCACTGACACGATCGCTGCCGCAAGCTTCTCGAAACTACGGCGCACTCGACCGAACACACCGTGCTAGTGAGCTGGGAACTGTTGCACCGCCGAGTGTCTGGTTCGCCGCCTTTTGGCCGCCACCGAATGTGAGGGCTGTGAGCCTGCTGGCGCCATGTAGTCTGTGTATCTCTGTATAAACATATGTATGCATGCATGTACATATATATATATGTATATTCATATGTATATACATATGTATGTACATATGTATGTGTGTGTGTGTTCATGTGGTATATATCTATATACACTTAGCCATTCATTACGAATTTCTCTATTTACGTATGCAAATATGCATATACATATATATATTGCTGAGCCCCGCGAACGCTTAAGACTGCCAGCTTCCGGCCGCTAACGTGTCCGGAAACTACATGGAATACCTGGGTGGGAAAAACAGAATAGAATTAAAATCAACCTAGAACTTCCGAGAATTTAGGGCTTCCAAATCGTCAATATTGCGAAGAAGCGTGCCTCCTTTGTGTCAAGTCTGCTGCTTTTTTGTGCTGTTTTCTGGCACTTTCGATCTGAAGATTTAAGGATATCCTCGTCGTCCGAATCTTCCAAAACTGCTCCTTTGCATCACGTCATGTTGCTTCTTGTGCTGCATTGCGGCTCTTTCTTCCGACTGGTTCCGACTGGACCTGTCGGAACCGATCGGAATCGGTCGGAACCGGTGAATTGGTCGAGTCGGGAACCAAGCAACACCTGTCGGACCAGTGGTCGGAACTGGTCAAGCGGAACTCAGCGGAACTTGGGTCGGAACCAGTCAAAACTGGTCGGAGCCGGTCATTGACTTAGCGGCGAAAACCTGTAAAAGACCCCGAGGCCCAATATACCTTAAATACATACTCTCCCATTCCTGTGTGAGAACAGATTTTCGTGCTCTATCCCGTCTTGGCCACCTCAATCCCTCCCCGGCCCGTCCTCGCGAATGCTTAAGATGCTAATTTTCCCTTCTTTACCAGTTGCCCACCTCAGCATATTCGGCGTAACCCCAAAAGTTATCTTAAGCATTCGCAGGGCTTGCCAATATATATATATATATGTATATGTACATGTATATATTTGTATGCATACATACAAATACAAATACAAATACAAATACAAATACATATACATATACATATACATATACATATACATATACATATATGTACGAGGAACCTTCCTGTATTATGTGACCATGCGTCTTTTCTGAACTTTCAAACAGGGGTTCGAATAGTTTGAATGGTTTGGGGGCCCGGCCTGGGGTCCCCAAACTATTCGAACTATTCGAACTATTCTAAACTATTCGAACTATTCGAACCAGAGGGGTTCGAATAGTTCGAATAGTTTGGGGGCATGGCCTGGTGCCCCAAACTATTCGAACTATTCGAACCAGATGGGTTCGAATAGTTTGGGGGCCCGGCCTGGGGCCCCCAAACTATTCGAACTATTCGAACTATTCGAAACTATTCGAACTATTCGAACCAGAGGGGTTCGAATAGTTCGAATAGTTTGGGGCCCGGCCTGGTGCCCTAAACTATTCGAACTATTCGAACTATTCGAACCAGGGGGGTTCGAATAGTTCGAATAGTTTGGGGGCCCGGCCTGGTGCCCTAAACTATTCGAACTATTCGAACTATTCGAACCAGGGGGGTTCGAATAGTTCGAATAGTTTCGAATAGTTCGAATAGTTCGAATAGTTTGGGGCGTGCCCGGGGAGACCAGTTTGGGAGGAAGGGGGTTCGAATAGTTCGAATAGTGTGGGGGCCCCAAGCCGGGCCCCCAAACTATTCGAACTATTCGAACTATTCGAAACTATTCGAACTATTCGAACCAGGGGGGTTCGAATAGTTCGAATAGTTTGGGCGCGAGGGCTGGTGCCCCAAACTATTCGAACTATTCGAACTATTCGAACCAGGGGGGTTCGAATAGTTCGAATAGTTTCGAATAGTTCGAATAGTTCGAATAGTTTGGGGGTTGCCCGGGGAGACCAGTTTGGGAGGAAGGGGGGTTCGCATAGTTTGAATGGTTTGGGGGCCCGGCCTGGGGCCCCCAAACTATTCGAACTATTCGAACTATTCGAATTATTCGAACCAGGGGGGTTCGAATAGTTCGAATAGTTTGGGGGCGAGGGCTGGTGCCCCAAACTATTCGAACTATTCGAACTATTCGAACCAGGGGGGTTCGAATAGTTCGAATAGTTCGAATAGTTTAGTTCGAATAGGGGGGGTCCCCGGGTGGACCAGTTTGGGAGGAAGGGGGGTTCGAATAGTTCGAATAGTGTGGGGGCCCCAGGCCGGGCTCCCAAACTATTCGAACTATTCGAACTATTCGAAACTATTCGTACTATTCGAACCAGGGGGGTTCGAATAGTTCGAATAGTTTGGGCGCGAGGGCTGGTGCCCCAAACTATTCGAACTATTCGAACTATTCGAACCAGGGGGGTTCGAATAGTTCGAATAGTTTCGAATAGTTCGAATAGTTCGAATAGTTTGGGGGGTCCCCGGGGGGACCAGTTTGGGAGGAAGGGGGGTTCGAATAGTTCGAATAGTGTGGGGGCCCCAGGCCGGGCCCCCAAACTATTCGAACTATTCGAACTATTCGAAACTATTCGAACTATTCGAACCAGGGGGGTTCGAATAGTTCGAATAGTTTGGGCGCGAGGGCTATTCGAACTATTCGAACTATTCGAACCAGGGGGGTTCGAATAGTTCGAATAGTTTCGAATAGTTCGAATAGTTCGAATAGTTTGGGGGGGGCCCGGGGAGACCAGTTTGGGAGGAAGGGGGGTTCGCGCCGGCCTGGGGCCCCCAAAATTCAAAATTTGCCGGAATCCCCTTGGCACCCTGCAAAAGTCCCGCAAATACCACACAAAACGGGAACGGGTAGGAACAACTTTGCGGGTCGAAATTTGCCGGGATCCCCTTGGCACCCTGGAAAAGTCCCGCAAATACCACGCAAAACGGGAACGGGTAGGAACAACATTTGCGGGTCGAAATTTGCCGGGATCCCCTTGGCACCCTGCAAAAGTCCCGCAAATACCACACAAAACGGGAATGGGTAGGAACACCTTGGCGGGTCGAAATTTGCCGGGATCCCCTTGGCGCCCTGCAAAAGTCCCGCAAATACCACACAAAACGGGAACGGGTAGGAATAACTTTGCGGGTCGAAATTTGCCGGGATCCCCTTGGCACCCTGCAAAAGTCCTACAAATACCACACGAAACGGGAACGGGTAGGAACAACTTTGCGGGTCGAAATTTGCCGGGATCCCCTTGGCACCCTGCAAAAGTCCCGCAAATACCACACAACACGGGAACGGGTAGGAAACACTTGGCGGGTCGAAATTTGCCGGGATCCCCTTGGCCCCCTGCAAAAGTCCCGCAAATATCACACAAAACGGGAACGGGTAGGAACAACTTTGCGGGTCGAAATTTGCCGGGATCCCCTTGGCACCCTGAAAAAGTCCTGCAAATGCCACACAAAACGGGAACGGGTAGGAACAACTTGGCGGGTCGAAATTTGCCGGGATCCCCTTGGCGCCCTGCAAAAGTCCCGCAAATAACACACAAAACGGGAACGGGTAGGAACAACTTTGCGGGTCGAAATTTGCCGGGATCCCCTTGGCGCCCTGGAAAAGTCCTTCAAGTACCGCACAAAATGGGAACAGGTAGGAACAACTTGGCAGGTCGAAATTTGCCGGGATCCCCTTGGCGCCCTGCAAAAGTCCTGCAAATACCACACAAAACGGGAACGGGTAGGAACAACATTTGCGGGTCGAAATTTGCCGGGATCCCCTTGGCGCCCTGAAAAAGTCCTGCAAATGCCACGCAAAACGGGAACGGGTAGGAACAACTTGGCGGGTCGAAATTTGCCGGGATCCCCTTGGCGCCCTGCAAAAGTCCCGCAAATATCACACAAAACGGGAACGGGTAGGAACAACTTTGCGGGTCGAAATTTGCCGGGATCCCCTTGGCACCCTGCAAAAGTCCTGCAAATGCCGCACAAAACTGGTGCCCCAAACTATTCGAACTATTCGAGCCAAGGGGGTTCGAATAGTTCGAAAAATTTCGAATAGTTCGAATAGTTCGAATAGTTTAGGGGGGTGGGGTGCCCGGGGAGACCAGTCTGGAAAGAAGGCTCGTGCTCGATTGGGAGAAGGCCCTGGCTCGTAATTTAGTATTGGGGGAAGGCCCCGGCTCGTAATTTAGTATTCGGGGCAGGTAATTT